TCGTGTAGGTACAAAACGGATAACTGACTCCATTGTCTATCGATATATTATTTCCAGGTGCTGTACTGAAGCAGAATTTTCTTGGATATATACCGTTTACATCTGCATAATAGGTGTCAGAGCATTATTAAGTAAATATGGCTTTATTCAAAGTTTGTGAGTAACAGGAAAATTAATGAAAGATGTATTTTCATGTTTACAAAGTCTCACCGACAAGATAAAGATGATTAAGATATGTGAGATTACTAGAACAGTAAATTTCGCATGTAATGGAATAGAGTATTCTTTGCCTAACTTGTTCATGATATGAACCTATGATCCTACTTGTTCATGGTTTCGAAGGAAATTAAAATTGTAATCAACTGTAGGTACGAATAGCGTTTCCATAAAAAGATAAATTTATTAATGGTAATCAAACCATTTGCGACATAGCGGTTAAGAGTGTCAAACACAATTCACGCAAATGGTTTATTTGCTTCTTATTATTAAATTATAAAATTATAAATGTGTAATTTTTGTGAATCCGATAAATTGTACATAATCTTCGATCAAATTATAAATTTGTAATACCAACAACTAATGAACACCTTTATTATATTAAAATATGAAAGAATACATGAATATGATCTGGCAAATTATTAGCAATGTATAATAAATTTTTTAGGCTATTCATTCTTGTGATCAAAGTCTCTTTCTGTTCCCAGGACACAGCCAATTCCTAGTAAATTTCAAAATAGATTCAGATAGTCCTAGCCCGGTAAGTGAGCCTCAACCCTCGTGAAAATGGAAATGAGTTTGGATGAGATAATCAAGCAGAACAAGAGCAAGAGGATAAGAGGTGTTGGCAGACGCGGTGGATCAAGACGATCTGGGTCATCTCGTGGAAGCCGGAGACCAGGTGTCGGAGTGATCCGGGGTTGGGGTCGCGGAGGTATTTCTAGAAATCGATCAAGTTTCGACAGAAAACGAAGCGTCAGCGGCCCGAAACGCGTTGAATCCTTCCTCGGAGGTAGCGGTCCGCTGCGCAAGTATGGTAACAACTCGGACATTACGAAGCTTATCGTGTCAAATCTTGACTTCGGTGTTACCGATTCGGATATACTCGAGCTATTCAGTGAGTTTGGTCCGCTCAAGTCCGCGGGTGTACACTACGACAGATCCGGAAGGTCCCTCGGCTCGGCTGACCTCATTTTCGAAAGGCGAGCGGATGCTATCAAAGTGAGTGATCTTTTCGAATTGTCTTGAAGTTTCGTAAAGGGAGGTAAATTTTATTATTCGTTACTTAGAACTCTACATTGAGAGTCTAGTCTTTATAATTTTTAAACGCTGTGGTTTCATGGTCGACCAATAAAACAGTGAATATAAATTATAACTACATTTGTATAAGAACAAAATAGATAGAATATGTTATAATTGAAATTGTTTATTTGCAGGCGATGACACAGTACAATGGCGTTCCTCTAGACGGCCGCGAAATGAACATACAACTCGCGACTTCGGAAATACCTGGAACGAAGTCAATCTATGAAAGTCGCAAGGTTTCCCGCCCAAGTGGTAGTTTTAATTCACGAGGCACAAACCGCAACGGAGTTTTGCTTAGTGGTTTCCGTGGCCGGGGTGCCTCTGGAAAACGCGGCATTAGAGGCAGCCGTCCCGCAAAGAAACAATTGCCGACAGCCGAGGAGCTAGACGCAGAACTCGAGGAATACGCAAAAAGCAAAATTACGAATTCGAATGGCGCTTAAGTTGGGGTGTAACGGGTCCCCGTTGTAAATATTTTTTTAATTTAATTTTTTTTTCTTTTTTTTAAAGAAAATTCTTACCACTGTTTTAATTGCGTGTGTGGTTAAGTAAATATGTTAAAGCTTCTCATAATATCGAAAGCTTCATCGTTAGTGTATAAATCACTACAATAAATAGTTAAAGCATGTGTAGATTATTTTGGATAAATAAAATAATAAGGTAACCCGGTTTCAAATTAAAAATCTAACTGCTAATGGATAAGAATAAAATATACACTTTAAAATTTCTACACTGCGTGAACACGTGTATCTTTTATAGGATACATTTATGTAAACAGCGTTTGTTTTTCATTTCATGCTTGAGTATTATTCATAAAAAATATCGTGTTAAAATAGTCCTTAGGGACAATAATCAGTTTAATCTTAAACTTGTGAATATATTGTACGAAAAGCATTATACTATACAATTATAAATATTGGAATGGTCAGCAATGATTAAATGAAAATCAAATTATCCTTAGGTAATTTTCGATTCATAACAATAACTAGTTCTAGCATATATAATATTTTTATCATTTAATAGATTATATTAATACGTCATTGTTTCTAGAATTAGTGAACTATTGTAAATAACAACGTACAATTATACTTTAAATCGATAACTAGGAAAAGACGATCCTTATTTTGTATTTTATTCTGCAGCTATTTATAAACTCACACTCTTATAAAACAATAATTAAAAAGCAGTTTGTAGTTGAATTATAACTCATTAGGGTTATGCAATAATTCCTGTACCTTGTGCTTTGCGTTGATTATGTTTTTCAAAGAATTCGATGTTGATAATTATTCTAATTACAGCTATTACATATGTTTCATCGATTGACCTGAGATTCCAAATATAGATATTTTTAATATGTAAATTATAAAATGAACATTCTTTACCAAAAGATTTGATAATTGTTTTGCGATGAGATGAAATATATCACGTAGTTATGTTTCATATAACTATAAACGTTGCTATTGAGTGAGATGAGACAGCATTGTCTTCTTACGTCGATTATATTTACATAATTATATGAAACTAATTGAAAATTATTTTTATTTTAAATTATTAATGACCATTGTATTTTGTACGTTTACGATTAAATAGTATGCGTCATTTCTTCTATGTAATTTGATAATAAATATTCAAAGAGAAGATATAATATAGTTGTTTAAATTATTATCATAAAATTACGCAAATTTAATTTGCTCTTTAAATTACTTATTTTGATAGACATAAATAAAAAGTTCCAAAACTAATTTAGAAATTTAATTTATGAATAATTGTTCCAATGTTAATTTCAACAATTAAATAGAAATTATAATAAAATATAATTTATTATAAAAGCTTTGTTAATAATGTATACATGGTATCAAGAACTAATTCATAATTAAGATTATTCCTAAATTACAATAAAATAGCTCAAATATAATTAAATGTGTATGGTTTAAAATTTTTTATAAATTTTATTTATTTAATTAAAAAAGAATTAAAATATCAAATTGAATGAATTATCAAACAGTTAAGGTTTAATACGACTTTGACAATTATCAAATATTTGAGTATTATAACCATAGAGCTTTTCAAAAACCATCTGCAAAGAAAACGTCAATATACATTTTATGGAACAAGGTTGGGGTAAAATTTTTGATGCTTTTTCAATTGCTTTCACCAAATCTTGTATGATATTTTCATTAAATTTAGCATCTTTTTTATGAATTAATGTTAATAATTCTTTATTTTCCTCAATGAACTTAGTTTCTAAAAAACTTCTTGAAGTATTAATAAATTTTTGCTATAAAAAATGAATATTACTGTATTATAATACTTGTGTATTAGTTAATTTAATAAATATTTTAATAATACAAAATATTTATATTTAAATATTAAACTTACCTCAATTTGTATAAAATTTAAAAGTGGAGGCCAATTTCTTTCACAAGCTACACAGTTGCAAGTAAAATAAAAATATTGTTCGAATAAAGTATTTCTATATATATTTGGTACATCATAGAAATTACATAAATAACTATCAAATATCTAAAAAAATGAATAATTTTTTATTAAATTATATTAAAATTCAAAGAGATTTATTTACCAGTAAATAAAGTCAGTAATTGAAATATACAAAGAGATGATAATAAATTAAAAACTTAAATTGAAATATTTTTCAAAATTTATCAAAATAATTTTCATAAAATATTAACATGCGTATGTATGATTTAGAAAAACAATCATACATATATGGCTTATCATTTGATATTTACTTGAGAATTTTGTGGAATAGTCTCTACAGCATAAATTATTATCTTGTGATCCTCTGTAAAACATCTTTTTACATTAGGAATACAACTGTTATTAATTAAACTACTAACTGGTGCCAAACATATTCCTTTACTACAACATTGAGCTATTGCACACCTCAATGGTTGTGAATTTTTATTGCAGGCTTGTAATGAATTAAAAATCTATAAAAGAAATGTAAGATATTTTCTTTTTTATAAGATTAATTAAATTTAAAATAATTGTTTTTTAAAATAATAGTTTTAATATTGTACTTACAATATGCCTATTATTACAAGTAATATTAATAAGTTTTAACAGTAGCGTTCCAATAAAAACAACTTCTGAATTTTTAATTAAACTTTTAAGTTCTTGGTTTGTTACAAAATTAAATTTAAAAAAGGATGTATATTTAATTATACAAGCCAAAGCTATGGCTGTATTTTGAACATTAGTTTTAAATTGTTGCTTAGATATATTATTTGATAAACTGTAAATGCTTCTAAATTTAGTATTTACAAATACTTCATCATTCAAAAAACCTTTAGTACGCTTATCTGAAAATTAATTTTAAGTAAAATATTTATTGAAATGATTAATACTCTACTTTATAAATAGTAATAATTTATATTTACAACTAATTTATAAAATATTCAGTTAATAAAATACAAAAAAGATATATAAAATTACTTTACCATTATATTTATCAATATATTCTATTTCTGATTTAAATTTGTCAATAGTATCAAATTCTTTCATTCCCATCAACATTACTTTTACACTAAGTTGAAAACTTTGTACAAAATTCTTAGAGAATTTTTTAATATATGGAAAAACAGAGCATTCAATATTATGATATGTTTTCCAAGCTTCCACTCTACATTTTACAGAGCAAAAAATGCACCAATTACAATACTTGCATGGAATTCCTGCCCATGCTATAGCCAAACAATGACAACAATAAATATATGGATTTTTATTATTTGAACAAGCTACATAAGGTGTTTCTACATAAATTATTTGTCCTGGTTTATATTCTTTAGTAGTAACTAAATATCTGCCATATTTTTCAGAATAATTTATATCAATATTGCTAAAAATATCCTTTTCTTTTTCTAAAAGTTTTTCAATAAGTGGATTTTTCTTATCTTCCTTTTTTGATACAACATTAACTTTATTGCAGTCTAATATATGTTTTGTTTTATTAATGTTATTATGAAGAGATTCCTTTTCATTTTTATTTTCAATTTTGTTAAAATATTTAATAGCTTCTTTAAATGCAATTTGTTTACCAGATAAGCCTAATAAAATTAAGCACTCGACTCTGCGACAATATAACTTAACTTTTAAAATATTAGACATGGTGATGTTAAGTGCTTTATCCAAATCTTCAAGACTTTCTTTATATTTTCCTAAATGTAATAGAAAAGCTGATCTGTTACCATATGCTAAAGCCAATTCTTCTGATGCGTCTATAGCAAAAGTAACACTCATAGAATATAAATTGAAAATTTCTTTATGTATCTCAGCATTGTGACTTTTTCTGATATAAAGTTGATTTCCTTTTTGCCTTACTTTTGTAGAAATCTTGGAATTTTTTCCTATATACTTGGTGTTAATTTTTGTAATAAATTCATTAAAATCTAGATTTAATAATTGCTCACTCATTAAATCTTCTTCAAAATACATTTTTTCAATATTTACAAAAGCACAACTTTAACCCACTTATTGCTGAAAAATTTAACTTATTAAAAATAATACCTACAGTATATTTGAAATCGTGTATATTTGATTTCTATTGTTATTTACTTTATATTAAGATTTATTTTATATTTAGATATTCTATTTTTATATATATTTATTATTTTTTTTAATATATATATGTTTCAGAGGAAAGATATATTTTAAATTCTTTTTGGTACTTTAGACAAATCTTTTCAATTTAACTTCAAGAATTCAAATCCTATGAATTGTATATATTTATGTATATTCAAGTTTTTCTTTTTAAATTTTCTTTTATCATTATATATCTAAATATAACATAAAATGAAATTTCTATTTATACTTTTTTTCAAATATATAAATAATACACATTTCATTCGATATTTTACTACTTTAGACAAATTGTTTCCATAAAATTCCGAGAATTTATGGAACAAAAAAAAACGGTTTTTGTTAAATTGAATTTAGTCATTTGATTTATAGTATGTCAACGTATTAATTATTTTAAAACGTATGTATTAAACTATTATATTATTTTACGTTGTTTTTATGATATTACATTAAATTTATTAGTTGATGAATTTAATATAAAACGGATGTTGGTCGTTGTTTTTATTATTTTAAGTATTCGCTCTTTTTTTATTTTTATACATCTTCTCTCCTTCTCGTCTTTTCTCATCCTTATTTATATATTTAGAAGAACTTCCACATGTTTTTTTCAAAATAAAAGATATATGTTTGATATTAGGATTACCAAGAATTTCAAGTATATATGTACTTAGATTTAAACATGTAGATTGCATCGATGGTATAAACTTGATTAGTTATCAACTAATAAAAGAATATTTAATTTATTAAAGAAAAACATATTTTATATAAAAATTTACATCTTCTATCAATAAGAATACTCAGAAAATAAATTACTTATTCGCTTTGGTATTTGTTATTAATAATTATTAGTATTTGAAAACTATTTTTGGATGTATAAAAATTGAATTTATATGTATGAAATGATTTAAAATTTCAAATTTTAGTAGAAATTATTGCAGAGTAAACTAATTACATTTATATATGTAGACATGAATTTGACAATTAATTTATAATGTAGAATTTATATGTATTATAATATTATGTAAATACTGTATATATACTTTATAATTAACAAATTTTTTAATCCCATTGTGCAGATTCTTATATTTCTATTAACAACTGAAATATTGCTGAAAATTGATTAACTACAGTTATCAAACTATTTTTAATTCGTAAGTAAAATTTTTTCAAATTTTTTGAATAAACTTGTATTTATATTTTATTTTATACCTTATATTTATAAATCTTTTCGTATTTTATAGTAAATAATAAATTTGTGAAGAAATATCTATAATTAATCCTTTTCGTAATTCAATCTCATACTCAAATTTTATAAACGTATCTTTTATATGTTTACAATTAGGATAAATAATTTTATAATTACGAAATGATTCACAAGTTATGAAATATAAATGCATTTTTCTCAAACAATTTAATTTCTAAATAAATATATAATATATTTAAAATCATGCTTTGATTTAAGCATGAGGTTGAAAATTATAATTTTCATAATACAAAAGCATTTTGGAAAAAAATATCTGACTAAAATTTCTTTTGTTTTTTCGATTTTTTCTGTATAAATACGTCAAATTATTGGTTAAATTAGTAATTAAAAAAAAAAAAATATTTAAAAGCATAGATAAAAATGAGTGACGATAAATCTATCGCTTTAGATTTAATAACTCTAAAGAAATCTACGTAAGTTTTTCGAAATTATATTAGATTCTAATAAAAAAATATAGATAAATTATATTATTACTATCACTAATTATATGAGTAAAAGATATTTAGTTTAATCTATAACTGAAATAACAATTTAATTGCATTGAAATTTAATTGTTATAAAGAATGATTTTTAATATTGTTATAATTATAACTAAAAGTATTTATTCCACCTTTTTTCAATTATTTTTAAGCAATTAAAGTAAAATATTTTTAATTATTTTGAATGATTACACTTTGTTTATATCTAAAGTATTATATTAATAAAATTACTTCTTATGCTTTCATTATAAGGGATAAGTATTCTTTATAGATCAAATATTAATTATAATATATTTTATTCATTAAATTTTATTTTCATCCATATGTTTATGTTTCATATTTCAAAACACTCATAAAAGTTTAGATATACCGCTAATTTTTAGATAATTATTTTTGTATTATTTATATAAAAATTTGTTTATACTAACATAATATTAAAAGCACGGAATTTTGCCTTTAATTATTTAAAAATTTTAAAGTAACATAAAATTTTCTTATATAATTTTTATGAAGAGTTTGTAAAGGTAAAATAATATTTTATATTATTTTTTTAATTCAAACTCCAAATAACTTTTTTTATAATATTATTTCTCTTATTGTATTTTATAAAAAATTTGATAGCTTGTATATGTTTTTATTTTCGTGATTAAGTATACATTAAGTAAAAATAATAGAAATAAATAGAAATAACTTGTAATGACTATTCTAATAGCAAAATATTGTATCTTAAAGTTAACTGTATTTATAATTGAAAGATGTATTATATATTAAAATAAATTAATGAAGGTAAAAAGATATTTGCATGTATAGTTCATTTTTAATTGGAGTTTTCAATATTATTCTATTAAACTTACGAGTGTTATTCAAATAATATATTTTACAATGACGACATCGCAACAAGGTACTTGAATAAACTGAAAGAAGCGGTGCCGAAAGTGAAGGGCAGCATACCAAATTTTGGCCTCCCAAAATGGAAACATTTACCCCTGGAATCTAAGATTCCGATGATCCCGGGTCTGCAGGAGAATATGTACACGTTTACACGCAGTAAACTCGGTGAGTCGCTCCGAATTCGATTCAATGGGTTCCAGCCCTTCGATATGAGCGATCCGTACAATAATGAGATACAATTACCCTATGAGGGTATGCATGATGCCCATCTCGCTCATTATTTTCGCACCTCGCCCCATGTTCAAGATGCATTGATCAAGGTATATCTATCAATTGATCAAGAATACTCAGATCTGTCGTTTTCATCCGTGACATCATCATGATAGTGAAGATTATTCGAAGACTTTTTTACTATGATTTAATTTATTAAATGATTTAAAATGAATTCGGTTGCACAATGACCTTCACTTCTAATAATTAAAATGATTAAAAATGAATATACTTTTAGATGGGATTGATAACACCACAGTTGGACGTCAAATGTAGTTTAAAGGAATATAACAATTATAGGAATTATTTAAGAGTTATGCACGGAAAGTTAATTAGGAATGTGTTGGAAAAAAGGGATAAGATTTTGAGGGAAAAAAAGTTACTAAATTATGCTGAGAATCAAACTTTGAAGAAAATTGAAAGGTAAAAAATACTTATATTACGTTTTATTTGTATAAGTGTATATTAAGTTCTAAATACTAAGTGTTAAGAATTATACAAAATTACATTTTATATCGATTTATATTTAATCCATAAACTTTTAATTATTTACAGTTAAATATAATTCTTTATTTTACGTTATATCTTTGAAGATAAGGTAATTATTAAAAATAATCAATATATCAGGTGCATTTAATAATAGGCCTAAGTACATTTTTTTTAAATAATTGAAAATATTAATATACAGATTTTATTTTTATATTTATAACAAAATATTAACGATTGATCTTCCATCTACTTTTATATAAGTTTTATTGATATATATTAATTGAAAATAAAAAAAATAAAAATATTATTTTTTATTAATATTTTTAGCTTCTACAATAAATGAAAATTAAAACATTAAAAAATATGGTTTTACATCAAAATTTAAAGTATAGTGATACATATTAATATTTTAATAACGAAGTATTGGTAATTATTTTAAGTCAAACATTTTTGTGTATATGACATTTCATTACATGTAAATGTAAATTCATAGATATTGTAAATAAACATACTAAATATATGTATTAAAAACTGTTGTCTGCAGATATTATATGTTATATTTCGCTTACGAAATAATAGAAAATATTTCAATTAATATTATTTTGTTTAAGATTAAAAAAAGATGAAATACGCGAAAACTTATTAAAGGAACTAAAACTCAAAGAAACAAATAAATTAAAAGAGATATTGCGAAAGGATAAAGAAAATGATCAAAGAGTAGAAACTATTAATGAAATGAGATATCAAATTAGTCAAAGGAAAAAAATGGAATCAAAGAAAAAAAGAGATTATATTATAAATCAACGCGCTATAATGGCAAAAAAAGAAGAACAAAAAATATTGAATACCCTTAATAAATGGCACGAACGTGATTGTTTACTACGAAAAACTAAGGAACAAAATTTATTGAAAATACATAATAATAAAATTACAACATCTTTAAATAAGTAAATAAATTAAATTTTTATAATGAAATATATTTTTCTATTTATACTGTTCTGTTTGTTTAGGTTTGAACAAAAGAAAGCTTTACAAGAAGAACAAATAGAAAAAGAATTATTGGTAAAAGAATATGCTGAAAAGATAAAAAAATCATTCTTAAACAAGTATCAAAGAAAATTGGAGGAAAATAAAAAAAAATTAGATGGTTTACATAATTTATTTACATATTTATACATTTTGAGTAAAACTTTGAGTTATAATGCTACATATTTAGTTAATATTTACTGTTATTTTCAGCATTATTGTTATTGAAGAAAGACGATCCTTATACTTTGTAAATACCTCTTTATGTTCAATGTTTGCCAAGATTATTTGGATCCTGCCTGCATAATAATTGTCATTGTAAAATAGCAAAAAATTAAATATGATTTATTATATGAATTAATATAATCCTAAAAATTTTTCCTGCCATGTAAAAAATAAGTTTATTTATAGTAATGAATGTATATGATGTACACTAAACTTTATTAAAAATTATATTAATGTCTCTTTATAATTTCATTAATAATTTTATGATTTTTACATTTATGATCAATCATAAGCTATAAGATAGATATATATTTTTAATCAATAGATATTGAATCTCTTATTAAATACAGCTAGTTGAATGGCTATGCTTAAGGTTTACGTGCTTTAATTAAAAGTATGTTCTAATTGATTTCTATGTGATTTTATATCCTTTATTTGACTTTTATAATATGAATATTTTTAAATTCACATTTATCATTGCAAATAACAAAATATTTGTAAATAACTCCTGTTCGTGTATTAGAAATTTATTGCGGTAATTAAATATAAATTATTAAATATAAATTAACATTTTAAATATATTAAATTTCTAAGTTAATTTAATTCAACGTATCAACTGTATTTGATTTTTTTGTATAATAAAAAAAAATTAAAAGGATGATGTAAAACCTGTTTCACTGGTTTACTTCTTTTATTATTTTATTGCCATTCATGCGTACGTACACTAGTAAAATTTAGAGAAATATTCATTCTTTGTTCCACAAAGCTAGAGCAAAATTTTTTAAACTAAAATACAAAATTTCCAGTGAAAAAGTTAGTGAAAATTATCCATCATGGTGATAAAATACTTGGAGTTTTTTATATTTTTTGAAGTGATGTGTATATATACTAATGCGATTGTGATTAACTCGATAGATAAAAAAGGTAAATATTTATGTTGATTTTTTATTTAGCCTATACAATATATTTTTTTTAATTTACAGATCTGTTGTTTCAGTAAAATATTTATTATTAGAATTATTAAAAAGGATTAAAATGATTAAAGAGGATGTATGCATATTAAAAATATTAATTTGATATTTCTAAATAAAAGAAAAATACGTTTTTATTTATTGTTACTGTTTTTCACAAATAAACATATTGAAATTGTGTATTTTATATTATTGGCATTATTAAAATTAATTTATTCCAATTAGTTAATTCATTAATTTTACGTTAATATTTTAACTGACTTTTTAAGAAATAAGTTACTGCATCAAATAAATTGTCTTTTAAATATTATCAAGATGGAATATTTATATAAGATCAAAATAACATCAAAATAAACATTGAATTCGAATATAAAATAGGAGAAAGTAATTCAAACAGTTATTTCAAATAATTATTTACTTTTATGTAATTAACTAAGCCAAGTATAATATATCATTGTATACGTTATATAATATAAAATACATTGTAAATAATTAATAAATTTCCTTTACATATACATCTTTAATTTATTTTAAAAAGAAATTTTTCTATTTTCCATTATTCTTACTTATATACTCTACATTACGTTACTGTATATTATTCTTTGTCTGTAATTAAATATAAAATAGCCTTCAGCGGTTAAACTTATGGTAGCTGAGCAAAATCCTTTAAGATCGATGTAAAAATATTTGATTCCCTTTTTATAAGTTTAATCGTTTTTTTACGAACTATCAATTGGAACGACTTTAAAGGGTATTGCATGCACAGTTATCACAGATGACTCAACACCACGGCTCTTCTACATCAAGGAAAACTCAGGCCTCGTGCACGTATCAAGCTTTGAATCTGGGATCGTTTCCCGTTTACAGCACGGTGAGCACGCCGTGGCCGTCGACTACCACTATCCCATGAACCTCCTCTTCTGGACGACATCAACTGGTATCGTTTATTCATGTTCGCTGTACCAGCTAAAGAACGTCACTCGGGTTTACAGTGACGATAATTGGCAACCTGTTTCCTTCGCCGTCGATTATCTCAGCGATCGCCTTTACATTCTTGATGCAACGACCAATACTTTGCGCCTCCTCGGCCTCGATGGCCAGCATCCTATTATTCTAGCCGTAGGTGCGAGATATTTTCAACCGACGCATATCGAGCTTGATTCAAACCAGGGTTACGTCTTCTTGTTCGACGATCGATATGGCCATGTAAGCTTGGAACATTGTTATAGAAAACTAACCAATGTAATTCATGCATTTAATCATATGATTAAGTGAATGAATAATTTTTATAAAAGGTAAGGTAGGATAAGAAAGTGTAGGAAAAGGTAAGAAAAGAATTGTAGCTGAATGCAAAAATAATTGTAGCTGTTGATACAGTCCACAGGATGAAATTATATAATACTAATTAGTCAATTCATAAGACAATTGTTTTTATAATTATATAATTTTAGTTTTAATATATATTTTAGATACTACGTATGAATATAGACGGTTCCAAATCGATACTACTCAATCCATATTCTTGTAAGATTAAGAATCATGGCGTCAAAATCACATTGGATCGTATCAATAAGAGAATTATTGTGGCTTCTCGAATTCATAAGAAAATTTTTACTATTGATTATAATGGAAATATTTTAAATACGGTGTTAGAACCTCAAAATGGTGTATTGAGTATGAGTATTACAAGAAATCATCTCTTCTGGGTAAACGCAGCTTATTGTGAGTTTCGAAAAATCTTTGACATAACGTAAAATATCATTAATTTATGCATTTATAACATGTATATATTGATTTTATTGTTACATATACTATTTCCCTTAAAAATTCTTATTACAAATAAATACAATAGTCATTTTTATATAAAATCAATAATACTAATAAAAACTATAAAGAGTTACAGTATAATAATTAGCTAAATAATTGTATTAAAATCCATTAATATAAATAACACAACAATAATTGTAATATAACGATCACAACTAACTTCGTGAAGATAGTTTTGGTACATCGTTCGTGGATGGAAGCGTGTACAAATGTGATTATAAAGAGGCTCGAGGTTGTCGTAACGGTTCGATTTCCATATTGCACGAGAGTCTTCCTGGTATTCGCGTACTAGTACTGAAAGCAGTTGAACCAGATAATCAGAAACGGACAGCTTGGTATAATCTGGAGAGCGAGGTCCGCGTTTGTCAACAACTTCGCTTGGGAGATGGTTGTGCTTGTGAAATTGGCTGGAGTTTAGCAAACGATTCGAAGAGATGCAGACGTATCGACGAATTCTTTATTTACGAAGATAATCAAATAGTACATAGTATGTGCTTCAAAAACGAACAATTATCGAGGTGCCAGGCAATCGCGCCCTTCAAAGCGAATCTGCAATTCAAAATCAATCAACGGACCGGTTTTACCTACGATGCCACAACCAGGTATCAATCTCATTAAAGTAATTACTTAAGAGACATTTTGGAAATACGAGAACGATATTACTTCAAGTCTAATTGACTAAGAATTAACAAACGTTCGTGTAACAATATTTGCATATGTAATGATTCTTTAGATTACTATATTATGGTGGCAAGGAATCAATTTATCGTGTGAACGTTGACACGGCGGAAAGTAAACGGCTGCTTTATCAAAAAGGTGTTTTTTATGGTCCCATGACTCTTGACTGGATTACTAAAAATCTTTACTATACAGAAATTGAGTGGCGGGGCAACGTGACATACTACATCTTAAAGGTGATGTTGGCACGTACGGATGATCCTAAGCGGATCGAAGAATCAACATCATTGTTGTGGGAATTTGGAAAAATTGATTCCTTAATGATTCATCCGAATCAGGGGTACTTATTCGTTTCTACTTTCGATAATAAAATACAAAAGTATCGCTTAATTAGATTTAATGCAGACGCAAGAAATTTGACGGTATGTATATTTGATATAATAGTATTTAATCAAATAAGTTTGCACGTCATTGGTATCTTACAAATCTAAATAGATTATTATTTAATATCCGTAAAAGATCTTATCGAATATTATTAACAAATATGAATATAATTTTTATTGTTTTTTTATTGTTGTTAATGAATTTTTGAAATTAAGAATTAAATAATAAAAAAAAATTACCAAATTATATAATTTAATATTACAAATGATACCACAATGGTAAGATCTAACATTAAATACACTCATGGGTAAAAATAAAATAATAAAATACCATTTATTCTTAAATTAATGATAAAATTAATCTTCCAAAATTGATATTTTTCAATCTTTTAGAAAAAATAAACAAAGTGAATAATACTTTTAATGCAGGTTTTGACAGCACTTAGTGACTTTAAATTCATATCGCTCGATTACTCTGAAGATAGAATTTATGCTCTGAATGTGAACGATTCATCAATATTAAGTACTGATCTAAAAGGGCAAGAGCTCATACAAATCGCAAATGCTAGTAGTATCATCCACAACGTAACCGGTTTCTTGGTACATAACGATGTCATATATGTGAAAAACCATACTAATATTTATCAATTCAACAAAACAAATAACAAATATCTCGGGGAAGTTGATATTTTTCCTTACGATCGTAATATGTCGATGAACTTCGCGGTGCATAGTCCTAACATTTTTAAAACTAATAACAGTCGTAATCCATGTGTCGAAAACAACGGAAACTGCGAGAATTTTTGCTTCGCTTTGCCACAATCTGAAAAGGAATATACTAGCCTCCGAAAGCTTTGTAAATGCTTTGATGGAATCAAGTGTAATGCAAAACAAATAAATAAATAAGAAGTAAAGTAATTAATACAAAAAAAAACCAATAAAGAACATTCACAGAATTAATATTTCAATGTCAACCTTCAATGTTAATACTATTAATTAATTATAAATTAATACTTCAATGTCAATTATAATGTCTACCTTGAGAAAATTAGCTTTTTTACCCATTTTTACAAATTTAAAATTTATGTTTTTTTTAAACATTGTAAAAGTGTTTTAAATTTCAATAATGCTATGGAATTATAAAATTTTTCAAAGTTTTTAGAATATTTATAAAAAATAATTAAAAGAATAATAAACTACAATTTATGAATAAAATTGAAGTCTTTAAAATTTATTATGCTTTTTGTTTATTTTTTAATTACGTTTATTTACGTTTATTTTCAACATAACATATCGAAACAATACTCATTTGATTAAAAAACTTGTAATTTGTTTTATTTAGTTTCAGTAATTGTTAAACATTTTAATACACATCTCTTTTTTCACTTCAAAGAATCTTCGAAATACCAAAAAACTTTCAACAAAAATGAATAAATATATTTTTCATTGTACTTTATAAATATTTTAAAATCTTCAAACGAAATATTTAATAATTTATACGTACATTATTAGTTGTACAAATAATCTCATGAATATAGTTCCTTATAAAAATGGTAAAAATAATAAATAAAATATCTTTCCACCACTATTTGTTTTATGTAAGCAAATACCTTTTTATCATTATTTAATTTCAATACGAATCTGGCTCTCAGTATCGTCACATATATTTGTAAATATAATGTCAAAATTAACATATTCATCTAATAAAAAAAAGAGTTACCTCAGCAAATACGAAAGGTGGTTTCAAAATTTGTAGAACAAACGAGAGAACAAACAAAAAGAAAATCAAGCAAAGGGGTGTAAAATCTAAAAGGAAAAAATTTAATTCGGTAACAGTTTATTAGCTGACCACCAGAGCATGTCAATGGCGCTGTCATCGGTTGATTCCTCGTCGCTGTCAATTGTTAGCAAAGGGGACCGACACAAAAGTGGCTCAAGAAGATAAACAACCGTGAATATTAGTGGTCCAAGCTTGACGAGGCGACAAAACCAAAAAAATAGTGTCGATAAAGGATGCTGGAACTTTTCGCGCCTGTAAAAGAGTTGCTGTGCGTAGAGCCACTGCGCATCGACAATCTCGTGTTCCGGTTGCATTCGCGGCTCACCGTACTTCTACTGAGCGTTTGTGCGATCCTCGTCACTGCTAAGCAGCTCGTCGGCGAGCCAATATCCTGTGTCACTGACTCCGACGGATTCGGTGAGACCGACCATCAGTTTGCTCAAGCTTCTGATTATGTTGTAATAATCTTAATGGTTCATTCAATTACAAAGTTATCTATGAACGATAATATTCCTACGATATTTTTCTATGTAATATTTTTCTAATGTATGATAATTTTTAGCTTATTTGCTAAATAATAAATTTAACTATAACAATTTATACCACTCATACTTAAAAAAGGTTGTAACAATTTAATAGAATATATTAAATTTGTGTTATTACGCTTGCAGCTATTGCACTTAATTTCGAATATCATGAAAATATATAACATTTGATGTACTTATATAAGTATTCAATCATTTATTAGAAGCTTTTTTTCTCTTCATTTGAATATTGAAATAGTTTTTTATTTTAAGGTCTCTTTAACCTTTTAATGGGTTAATAATGTTGAGTACAACGAATTCTTATTAGCCCCGATATTTATATCCTATTATTTTTAAACAAATATATTGAAACTGTAACTGTAAAATACAATTTCCAAAACTGTTTTAAATGGAAAATTTTATTTTACGAAAATACTTCTTGAGAATTGTTCAGGTTAGAATTATCTTATTTATATACAATTTTAAAGTAATTCTTGTTTTGCATTGTTGATACTTGATTATTATATTTTTCGGACAGAAATAACGGGAGTTATACTATATAACTTGAAATATAATTAATAGAATCAGAACCAGTGAATGCATATTGCTGGATTTACAGTACATTTACTGTGAAAAGACATCTACGAGGGATTCCTGGTCGAGAAGTGGCAGCTCCAGGAGTCGGCCAAGCGTTGGATAAAGATGAAATTCTTCACCATCGGTATTATCAATGGGTTCGTGTATGATTTTAATTACATTTCGGATATTTTTACAGATTATTATAAATTGTTTTTGAGTTCGTGATAAAACGATAGGAAATTAAATATAAAAAAGCTTACATAATTTGTGCGTGAAAAATAGTAAATTTTCACTACTAAGGCATCGGAAGTGGTTTGAATATTTGAGGGGATCAATGTATTCTGAACTAATGCATATATTTGTAATTAAAATTAATTTTTTTTCTTTCATGGATTTCAAGAGTAAGCTATAAAATGTTCAGACTACTATTTATGCATTTTTGAAAAATTTTCTAGTCTTTGTTATTTATCATTATTAATTTTAATAATACCTGTAAATAAATATGAAACAAAACAAGATATTAATTGTAAGAACAATGAAGTAATTAATATGTATTGTTTTCTCATTTATTGCTATTAGCAAATAATTTTACAAACACAATCATTTAATTTATGACCCGGATATACTTCTTTAGGTGAATAACAAAATAAAATATACAGAAGAGAACTGTATCTTATCATAAATATAAGAAATGCAATTTCTACAATATGTAAAATATTCGTAAGATACTCTGAATACTATATATATAACCCGATTGGTTATTTATCAAAAAATACAATAATCATCGTCTTTGATTTTCTCAATTCGAAAATTTCATTTAACGTCACGAAATTATAATTCTTTTTATAAATATGAATGATACAATTGAATAAAGATATTAAATATAAAATTGCGCGTAGGTTTGCATCGTATTGGCATTGCAAGCAACAACCTTCTATGCGCCTCGAGCTCTTTGGCAGGTATGGGAGGGTGGTATCGTCAGCTACCTGGCGCAAGATCTCGCCTCACCGTTCGCTCGAGACACCTGGACGAATGAACACCGAAGTCGACTTCTAAGTTACTTCTCTGATAGCCTTACACGTGGCCATAATATATACGCCCTCAGGTTCTTCGCTTGTGAGATCCTTAATTTTTTCAACTCGGTGAGCACATTTGTTCTATTACTTTTATCCTGCTTATTTCGTTGAACCGTCCTTTAAGATAATACGAGGTCACTTTTTATACACTAGACTCTACTAACAATTATTTTTTCTTACAATATAAACTTAGTCATCTATTTTTTTTTTAAACTCCTTTAGCTACATTCGAATCATGAAGTAAATAGTTTTTAAGTATTTCTACATTTCGATTATAACATGATACACTTTTGTATTACTTATGTAATACATTTTACTTTGTGTAGTACCGTATTTCGTGTTATTTTTATATTGGAAAAACTTCTTTCAACTTGAACTGAAAACGAAACTATAAACAACAAAAAACATCGAGCTCATTATATATATTATATACGACATATGCACATTATATACGACATAATGTTCAACAATTATGAGTCTATGATGATAAATCGAGCGGCGCATCAATAGTTGAGCCAGATGTACTTGTTGAATCTGCTGCTGGAAGGTCAATTTTCGCGTTATGGGCCTGCGGTAATGGGTTTGACCTCGGAGACGAAACCGTTCGAGCGGGTCGACCCGATGGCACGACTTTTTCCAAAACTTACCAAGTGTACGATTCATACATTCGGACCCGGTGGCTCCAGCCAAACCCATGATGCCCTTTGTGTCCTGCCACTCAACGTCGTCAATGAGAAAATCTTTGTGCTACTTTGGTTTTGGCTCGTATTCCTCGCTGGAGCCGGTGCCCTCGCCCTCATTTATAGGTAGCGTAAAAATTTCTGAATACATGTTAGGTCTATACACGACTCCTCTTATCACTTATATTATAAAAGGAAATGTAACATTAATAAGAAAAATATTCTAATAATTATTAAAAAATGGTTTGTTACGTTATGTTATTCTATTACTCCTTAAAGTGTTAATAGAAATATATATTTTCTCAAGCAAATGAGCGTTAATTTTTTTTATAACATTGCACACTGATTTCGATTTATCATATAAAATTGATTATATTGGTAAAATAATATTAAAAAAAACATATACTATATAAAAATAATCGGCGAACGATTTCAGACTGATGGTGTTGACGCAGCCGTGGGCACGTATAATCCTTGTTCGCGCGAGCATTCCGGGCTTGTCGCGGATGACGGCCGAGCGTCTGGTGCGCAACCTGGGCTTCGGCGACTGGTTCCTATTACGACAATTGACTAAGAATGCCAACCCTCTTGTGCTTCGACAGCTGATACATGACCTCACCGACGATTACCCCAAAGTGGACGTCTGAGCTGAACAATGAACATACATAGTAAACAGGGTGCGATTTTTTGTTAAGTTCATTATTATTGTGAAAGGTTTACTAAAATGGATAGATTGTTTGTTAAACAGAGGTTATGACCTTTTTATTCGAAAGTACATCTCTTACTTTTAATGCTTAGATTAATTAAATTTGGCAGTCCAATGAGAGGAGACAAGTTGATCAAATATCATAATTGTTACGTGCACTCATCAAATTATCGCCTGGAAATAGATTTAGTTCCATAGTAACTGAAACTTTTAAATTTCATTTAAAAATTTATGTATAAGTATTATATATTGTTTTTATTACTGAATAATAATTGTTATTTATTATAAGTCAGTATGCATATTCGATGAACCGAAATAATGTACAAGAGTCAAGCTTAACTATAATGAATAAGTGATTTAATAAATTATTTTGTTACATTAAATTAATACTTCTATATCATTTGTAATTTCTATAACATATCAAACCATTCATTTTTATTGATTATAGAGCACGTATAAGAATACGTTAAAAAGAAAAGTTTGATAAAGCATATAATTCCTATTTTTAAAAATATATATTGTTTTAAACCTAACAGGAAACTAAAATAAGTTAGTGATAATTATTTATTAAAATTATCGTTATGATTGACAATCTATATTTTGTTTTTGCTTCATGAAACAATCAATTTTTTATACACTTTCTTCAAAATTGCACAATAAAGTTTAACGACTAACCATATAAAATTTTGAAAAATTAAAATATTTTTTACCTTTCTTAAAATATTATATTTTAAAATAATATTCTTAAATTATTATATTTGCAGATTTCATAATTTATTAAGAATAGTTTAAGCACTTTAAACAAAGCAGCGACTTGAATAATAATGTGTTAAGTCTTTCATCGTTTATTCATTATCTTTGAATATTATTAATGTTAAGAGTCAATCTTTTATAAAAACAAATCACTTAAATGATTTCCATTAATGAACTTATCTTATAATTTCACTCAATTATACAATTAATTCATGTTCTATTATTTGACAATAATATTTATAATAAGAGTCTTAATTGTATCTGATATTCTTCAGCATAATTAATCATATTGATAGTTATTATGGATTTTTAATATTTAAAATTATTAAAATCTAAAAGCAGAAATTCAATTGAAAAATTTTGCTATAAAATTTTTTTGATAATGAAAAGATCATTACTCAAATAAAAAGTTATTTAAAGATATTATTCTTTCAAAATTTTTATTGTGAATATTTTTATAAATTAAAAAATTTGAATTTAGAATATTTTGTCCAAAAAAAAATTATGAAAATAGTATTGTGATACATTGTTTTATACTGGATCACCGAATGAAAACATAAACGAGAAGGATTAATGAATGCAGAGAGCGCATTTCGTAAACAAAACCTTTAATACAATTATTAATATAAAAATATTATGACAATCACATAATTTAAGGTTTAGTACTAATAAAAAAAAAAATATATATATATATATATATAATTTAATTGTTTAATTATCAATTTGAAAGAAATTATTTTCCAAAACAATAAATAGAGAATAATAGAAAAACTTCAGGAAATTAATAAATTCAATAATATCTAATAATTAAATAAAAAAATTTATAATATATTAAATAAGTGTTTACTACTTTTAAAATTATATTTACTTAAAATGATCATAACAATTGTTTACGCCTTAAAATTATACGTCATCTAATTCTAGAGTTTAATTCTTATAAAAAATAAAAAAGTAGATTATATAAATTTAGCAAATGTCTTTTTTCTAATTACATATATCATAATAATTTTTTTCAGGATTAAATAAATAAAAATAGTTTATAGACAAAAAGTAAGAAGATACTATTTATTTTGTAATATAAAAAGTAAATTTAATAATTTTATGCTCAATAATTATAGATATTATTGGTGACTTAACAACTTTTACCATTATTCGATTTATTTGTATGCAAAATTTATGATCTACTGTGAATTTTCGAAACAATTTTTATCAAAATATAAGTACTACAATTTTCAATATACTTATTTTAATCTAATGTACATCAGTAATGATTCGCTTACATTATGTATTTATAAAACTACACAGTAATCGTTACTACGTTTAGGAGATTCGTTCGAGTACTTACTTATATACTTATAAATGTACCATTTCCATCTTTTTACAATAAATACTGTTAAGGAAGTGTTATGAAAAAAATTAGATCTATGTTATACTTTGTGTCTGTTGGTATAAAGGCACTCCAAGTTACTTTTATTTGCGCTGAAATTTGATCACAACTAATATAATTTCTCTTATTTATGATTTTCTAATGCACGGTATTTCTCTAAATATATGTGTTTTATCACAAGAGAACAGATAATTCTTATTAAAATGAAATGCAATTTAATACAAATATTATCACAAGTACTACCTACTTAAGAGAATACTAACATAGTTAGTTGTCATTTTAATGAATATTAATTATTCATACCCTTTAATGAAAATACTTATTAAACATTTTATAATTAATTTGCATTAACAACTTTTCAGAACCAATTACTTGTGTTTGTAAAATAAATATATACTCTTGATGTGAAATTATTATAAATTATTTCTATTATATAATTATAATAACTAATTTTTGTTATTAAAATAGAAAAAGCATTTTCTAATTTTCTAAAGATACAATAATTTTTTAAATCATATTACTACAAACTTCATTTTATAATATTTCTCATAAAGACATATTTTCAATATATTTTATTTATATTTTCTATGTATTCATCCATAGTATAAGTAATGTGAATGATTAAATTGAGCGTTAGTTAGAATGCAGTTATCATCGTTATTATCATCATTAGTAAATGTACTTCTCTTCAGTAATAAGAGCATGATCATTCGATCCTTAATTTTAGAAATGTTCTTAAACAAAAAATGCTGTGATCTACGTAAAATCATTATTTAAAATCTAATATTTTATAAAATTTCAAGCAATTATTTTAGCGATTTTATAATTCTAATATGTGATTGGATTTATAAAATGCATTAGGAATACGAATTTAAATGAAATTGTTAAAATATTTGTTTAAAATTTTTTCATATCTTCCAATAGATTATTGCTTTTCAATGATCAACTGATTTTCGCTGTTCGTTTTTTTCAGTATTAGAATGAATTATCACGGTTTTCTTACTCAGCCTAGTATACATTCATCCAAATCATTTTCCATATTTTGCCAAAGATTAAATTAATAAATGCCATAAACTTTAACAACGTTCACGAATTATCTGTATACATATTATAAATAATTATAACATAACAAACTATTAATAATTTTTAAACGAAATGTTACTAATATTATGGTTAAAGAAATGTTTTTTTGTAATCTATAAGTAAAAGAACTTAAAAATATTATTATTACCTTTTTTACGATAAATTTAATAGATGATTAAATTTACTCTTTAAATTAATTTTTAAAGCAATATTAATTTATAAAGATAATATTTAACTTTAAAGTTCAGGAAACCGATAAAAATAACACTTAAATTGATGCCAACAGGGTGACCAGTTATTTATCTATAAAGATTTTGAACGGATATTATAATTTATTAGATAAATAATTTTCAGTTCGCCAAAACAAACCGAGCAGCATAATAATAATTAACTTGTGTAAATTGTTTTTTAAACAAAGTGAGTATGCAATAAAAAAAAACAAGGAAGTCCTATAGTACGAAAATATATTGAGAATTACTAAAAACTAAGCAGCTAACAAAAAATTCATTATCAAAATTTTGAGAAATCTTGCTTTATGTATTAAAATTATTTAATAACACTTTTTTAACCATATTACAAGGTTATTTAATGTAACTTTTAATACTGTCAATAATTAAGATTGAATTTTTTAATTAATTAATTTTAATGTTAGCATCTAATGATCTTGGAGAAATAAAAATAACATTCTAGTTTATTATAAAGTTCTGCTTTATACTTGATTTTATAATTATATCTTACAAAACATAATCTTATAAAGTATTTTTACATTAGACATTCTAATTTTAAATGAAAATAGCAAAATATTATCTTTGTTCACGATAGAGCAAATCATATTATTAAAGCTATCAACTTCAAATGAGTAATGTATATCATTTATTGATATTTGTAATTTTAATTTTCGACCATTATAAAAATAAATGAAAAAATTATGAAAAAAATTAGTGTTCAAGTAAATAATCTGAAATTACTGTGATTGATCAATAACGTTTATCATTCAATTATTCACAATAAAAGCATAAAGACAAGTGGTTATTATGAATTTTATATACATTTTTTTTGTTAAACGGATGGACATAGACAATTTTTACAATGCAAATTTTGTACCCATTACATTACAGTACATGATAAAATATATATAATTGTGATTAATTAGTTCTCTATGATATAAAAATATCAATGAAAATTGAAGATAAATTTTGTAGGGATGAACTATTATAGCTTTTATCTGAATCTGAAAGAAATCTATAAAAAATAATCAAGTCAGAAATTTCATGGACTGTGAAATATATTGAAATATAAGTACTTAATAATTTACTGAATATATCGATACAAAATACTCTAAAATCTATATACATCCATATATAGTGACAGTAGATGCAATATGCACAAACGTGAAACAAATACAATTCAATTATGCAGTTACGCTTTTCGTCCATAATTAATAAGTCATCAGGGAATCAATGTTAAATATAATTTTTACGTACCATACTCTTCGTCTTTATTATACAAACAAATTATTAAAGATGTTTTATGTTTTAGGATAATTGATGAAAACGCGAATATTGGCACACGTTTAATAAAACTATACATATAGTAGTAATAATACAAACTAACATCAGACACAAAATCTACAAAATTTCAATTTAATAACAAATTAGGTTACTTAAATAAGTTTTTTTTTAAGTGTATATTATGTGATATAGACAAATCTAATATATATGTATATAATGACAATATATAAAATATAATACGATAGCAATTTTTGATACATTATTAAAATATATTATATTGATTATAAAAAAACTAATTGTTATAAAATAACGATATATGATTGTATAATATTTTCAATAAATATCTGTATAGCACAATTGAAGGCTATTGTAAGAAAAAAGTTTTTATAAACAATTGATTGGCCATTTATTACAACTTGTGACGAGTTTAAATGTTATATTTATTAATATTTTGATTAATTAGGAAATAATTTACTGTATTTTAGTTTGTTCTATTTAATATGATATCGTGATATTAAAAAAAAAATTAATTATATTTATTGCTTGTAAAGGCTATTATTTAGAAATGTTATGATTTTTTTCAAATTAACTTTTTCAAAAATTAAGTAGTACTTAGTATTACAGTAGCAATTTAAGGTAATAATTATGAAATTTTCGAAATATAATATAAAATAATTTATCAGAAATAATAGTTATATTCTATCATATTAAACGAATTATCAATTATTATTGCATTTTAATAAGTAGTGATATTGTATTACGAGAGTGAGAAAAAAAATTATTCGTAGTAAAATATTGTTAGTTCTTTTATGCGGTTGAAGAAAAAGAAAGCTGGAAATGCACCGTCTTTGTTACACTATTAGCGCTGTATTAGCTTGCTTAATTAACAATTTGCTAAAACGGATTATACACGTTTCTTATCCACCAGCTGTTGCAAGGATAGCCTGAAAAAGGCGAAAGAATCAACTCTATGAAGTATTGTGATGCAATTCTCTTCGCGTAAGACAATTTTATCTTGCATAAAAATTGCTGTTTTATGGAAGCTCATACTGTTGATGAATTAACTCAAAAGTTTGTAAGATAATAAAATCTTACAAAGTGCACAAAGTTGATGATCTTGCAAAACTGGGAGTAAAGAAATCAAGGATAGAAAACAAAAGCTTGATTTTCTTGAATATCAATATTCATATTTAATATTTACCAGCTTGCAAGATATAGTTCAGATTATAATTGTTTTTGATTTTTTTTTATATATATTATATTTGAAGATTATCGTTAACGATAAGCCATAGAATATATAATTTTGCGTATTATTGTATGAATACAAACTACCCTGAGCACATTTTTAAATGAAATATCTACAAAAAAAACATTTTTTATTACAAAGATGATATACGTAATTACAATAAATTTCTAGTTCCTTAATATAGTTAACTTAACCAGTAGCTTAATATAGCTTACTTTGTACAACATGAAAATGCAATAAGACAACTTTTATTGGATCAATCTGCACAATTCCGGTAACAAAAAGTTAATAGTTTGATACTATTATTATTGAAAATCGCAATTAATACAAATAATGCATTTCTTATTTCATTAATTGAGAAAAATTAGAGGTACGAATGGTAAATTGACTCAACTGAACACATTTGCCGTTAGTTCTAATTTCAGATGAGAAAATCCATTACAGAATTTTTTAGATTACGGTGATTTAGTACTTTTTCATTCTAAGAAAAGAGTAAATTTTATTTAAATTAGGTTAAATTAACTGAAGTTGAAATAACGTGGATTTTAACTACATTACAAATTAACAGCACGAGCAACTTCTATCACGAAGAGTTGTAGAATTTAATTTAACTGAGAATCATGAATATTAAAAGTTATTTTATGTGATGCTGATTTCTTAGAACTATTAAAAATTTCATTCGTACATATACGACTATTGAAAAGCGAACATTACGTGGGTTTCTGAATAATCTCAATGATACATTGAAGTTAGAAAATTATACATATATTTATGGAAATTATAAACCAAGAATTAATTCTGCTACAATTTCTAAATAGTTGATATATCATAAGAACATAAATAAAGGCGTGAAAGAGTTAACAGTTACTGAAACTGACTCCAAATAGTTAGTTACTTACTCTAATTAGTTAATTATTTATCAAAAAAGACATATAAGAAAATTAACTAAAGTATAACCAAAATTAAAAATTATACCAATTTGATAGAACCATCTAAAATAAACTGTAAACTGTTCGTCGATTTTAAAATATGATTCATCTAAAAATTCTAATACTTTACCAATAAACTTATTTAACATTTAAAACTGTATTTAGAAAATTAAAGTGACATTGATACAGATTAATCATATGAATAATTCTATTATATCATTGAAAAGTAGCAATACCAAATTCTCATGATAAGTAACTACCTTAAATAAAATATATAATTCATTCATTATATTTACATAAAAAAAAATACAATAGAAATTTCAATGAAGTGACTTCATAATTTCAAGCGATTAATTTATTAATATGGATATTTTCAAGTCAACATATGTATGTTTGGTTAAAATTACAATTTAAATTTTATTTGAGTCGATATATTTTAAGTAGATGTAGGAGTGGATTTGAAAATTTATTCGTTACCTAGGTATAATCTTTGAAAATATTGGAGTATTTATATAATAATGATTATATACGAGGACCTTTCTCACATCTTTATTAGATTTACATCTAATAATCTAATAAATGTACATTAATGTTTTAAAAGTTCACACATACTTTAAATGAACCTTGAAAAATAATGATCAATTCGGACTTATTATCCAGACTTATCCAGAAAATAAAAATCTGGATGGTATTGTTTACCAGACATTATCAATTTCTAAATTATTTTATAATTAATTATTATAATTTTATAATTAATTATTGTATAATTAATCTTCATATCAACTTATCTAAGAAATTTAAAAATATTTCATATATTTATTAAATTTTTATGATTATTCATTATAATGGCAGATCTAGAAATAGTACAGAGATTTGTAAGTAAGAAACAAATCAAGCTCCTACAGGATCTATAAGGACGATATTTAGATTTACGTATAATAAATTTTTTTATAGAAAAAATAATACATCAGGAGATATCACTATTACAAATTATCTAAAACCCGATTATGACCAACTCATGACTAGTGAATCTTGATCTGTAGCTACAGAAATTTGTTCTTGAATCTTTATTAAAATAACTTGATAAAGTGAATTAATAAATAAAGATAAGCTTATTTTAGGCATTTTTAATAATGGGAAAAAATTAATATACGTTAAATTATTAACTAAATAATGAAAATAATAAGTTCCTTATTCAGTATAAGTAAATATAACTAATATTTCTGATCATTTTAGAATTAAGTATTTTGCTAATTCTTCCTAATTTCTGCAGGAATGTACAAAAGTATGACACCATATTAACAAAATGAAAGAAACTTATATTTTCCAAAAAACATATATATATATATATATATGTGTGTGTCTGTATATGTGTGTGTGTGTGTGTTCAGTAAAATCAATGTCCATTTCTTATCAAAAAGTGATGTCAATAGCTGCTACTGAAGTCTTCAATTCTATTAGGAACATAAAAAAAGTAAATATAAGAAAATTAATAGTGACAAACATTTCCGCAGTTATATCGAGGCATGAAATCTAATTAAATTTAGACTATCATCACATAATAGACAGGCGGAAAACCTGAAGATAGTATAATCGCCACTATGAGACATCTTCGAAGACCAAAAAAAGGATGTAGTAGTTAGGTTTCAAATTTATTGTATTTTTTTTAGATTATACGAGGTAAAGTGCACCCGGTTAAATAACTACTACATGATAAAGAAGCTTAACATCGAAGAGTCACATGCCCAAACAATAATATTACGAAGTAAGGGATTTAATTGGTTAACCAATTATTCATATTAAAATAGTAAGACAAATTATAAGTACTATTATACACTTATTATTTACTAAAATGTGAAACAACTTTTAATTATTAATTATAATAAATCGTAATGTACATAAATAAGAAAAATAAACAAGATCTATCATTTTATAATAGTATGAAATTAAAAATTAAAGGGGTATTCATAAGTGAAAAATTAAAAAAATCTTTGTATTTTCCAATTACTTATAATTATAAACCTTAAAAATATATATTTAAATTATATGTATAATATAGAGTATAATTCGTAAAATTACTTTAGCTATGAATTTGTAAATATTGAGATCCTTGTACAAAGTAAATACCTTGCATAGTGTAGGCTTTGGTTATTTATTTTAAGTGACTGATATACTAAGTATAAAAATATCAATAAATAAAAATGTTTCTTGCAACGGATTGGCACTAACTTTACTTATTAGAACCAAGTTATATTACTTTAAACAGTCTTAAATATATATTTTTAACCTAAGTATAATGAAATTATGATTTTTGTTTTATAAATTATTAAAAAATCATAAGTAGTACTGTATTGGCTTATGAACACTTCATTCTAATAATTTGATGAAAAACTTATATTTATAACATTTAGATAATAAACTAAAGTAAAAAATAATATTGTTATATATTGTAATATAAATATATTTTTAATTACTTAACTTGTTAAGTTATTTACGTTCATTACGTTATATTCTAATGAAAATGAAATTCTGAGTAATTTCGAAGTTTATTATCTAATTCTAAAAGTCGCATATTATTTTAATTACTCAGTCATTGGTCACCCTGTATATGATTTATCATAGAAAAATCTATTAATTTTATTGAAAATCACAATTATGTGATTTTTAAACATGATTTGTAATCTACATGTTTTTATTACATATATTCATAAAAATAATTTGAAATTCAATATTTTACTTAAATGGCGTTTCCTTCATTCTATTATTAGTTTTAAAATATTATTAGTTAATTTTTTTTGCCTGAATCAATATTCTTCGTAATGCTTAATATATTTATTTATGGACCGGTGTATAAATAAAAAATTTCTTACTGTCGCATTTCCGCTTTTAATTTTATATTTAAACTTTCCCTTTAATTTAAAAATGCATATTAACATCTTATGTATTTCTTAGTAAATAAAGGCATTAAACATTAAAACAGTTATAAAATTATCTAACGACCTTAACTCAAAATAAAAAACAAAATTCAATTGAGACTTAGCCGACCAAAAACATACTGTATCAAAATTGTAATTTCTAAAAATTTTAAAAGAACTCTTTATTAAAACGCTTGTAATAATCTCGGGCCATAAAAAATTTTCTCCGTAATTCAAAAATCATTTTCCATCATTACTAATCGATCCTTTCCAGCTATGAATTCTTCACGAACTTCTCATGGCAGTATCTGTTTGTAAAGCGTAGAGGGATCGATAAGGTTGAAACAGTTAACGGGCACGAGGGAAGTAAGGGGCAGGGTAAAGTTGTGCATTCGGGAATCCAAGCGACCAGTTGCTTCGTTAAGCCATCCGCATTCGACTGTTACCCTCTCAAATGCGTAAACGATGCCGATTGCCCGTGCTTCCTCTCCTATCAGAATCTTTTCGCAAGGACTCTGGAACTGTTTTTGTTCCGAACGCATAATATGAGCACCACGAATCGTCAATGTACCTTGGCTCTGAGACTTTTTTGCATCCCAGGTTACGTCATAGCCTACGAACGAGCCGCCCTCTTTACCTGAAAAATATACGAGATTTTTAAAGATATTTTTCAATTTATCTCACGGTAATTATGGTTATCGTAGATGATTACTATATTATATCTAATTGCTATTGAACCCGAAAAAAAATGATTATATGATGATTAAATACACCATGAGACATACTGAACTTACCTAAGTACAAAGTATTTTTATATGAGGCTAAGCATTTGACACCACAGAACTCACTGGAATCGAAGGGATGATCGACCTTGATCCAAGAGTTTGAACTAGGATTGAACATATAGATATTGGATACACAGAGGGCAACGATCCCGTTTATCACACATGCGGGCGGCACATCGGTGAATGTCTCTGGGATGTCGGGCGCATTAATCCACAAACCGGTGTTTAAATTCAAAATTTCGACGGAAGAGAGCTTGAGACGATATCGGCCAACACCACCGATAAGTATCAATTTATTCTCGACTAGTGCCACTGCCATATGCCTACGTGCCTTTCGTAGCCTGGGAACAGATATATGATTTTATGCAATTACCAATATTAGCATGACATTTAGTATGCTAATTGTTCACATTACCTTGCCAAATAATACCATTTCTTCGAAATCAGACAGTATCGCCAAACATTCATGTTGAATTTGCAAGATCCCAATCGTATTTCACCACCAATTTTGTAAATACTAAAACCTAAATACAATTTCTTAATTATATTTTTGTACATAATGTTTAAACTTAATATGACTAAAAATTGATTAAAACATTGATCTGAACTCACTGTTATAATAAATATGATAAATATAACATATTTAACTACAAAATCATTATTGATTTGCAATTCAGTTATTGTTGAAAAATAAATTTCATTAAAAATTATTTATATTTTTCTTATATTAATATTTTATTTTACCATGTTTCAAAATTTGAGAATGAAAAGAGTTTATTTATTGTTTATATAATTTATCATCAGTTTGTAATTCGGAAAATTGAATGTGTTTATTTCTTTTGTGTAGTTTTTATTGTTGAACAAAAACTTATGTAATTTATATATATATTATATATATATATATATATCGTAATGAAGCAACATAATAAATAAATTCTGCTAGAACTCAATATATAAAATTGAAAAACCATTTATTACTGAAATATTTTGTTTTATGAAATATAATAAAACTCTTTAAAACAATTAAAGAGTAATTAAAATCTAACAACATAATTAATTTATTTGTAAGATTATTATAACTGGCAAATAGTTAAATGTTTGAAAAACATAAATCTAATTTTTAAAAAATAGCCATTTGAAATATTTAAGTAAAATAACATTAATATTGTGATAATTACGATTTAATGCTAATATAATAAGTTCATTTTTACAGAATTTTTAGATTTTACAGAAAAATGATTCTGCATACAATAAATTAAGTAAAATCATTACCACGTCCAACAACTCCCATTCCAGCCAAATCTTTACCAGGCTCCTCCATTCTCCAAATTTCAATAAGTTCTCCAAATTTCGCAGGAACTTTCTGCTGATACGCATAAACTACACGTGTATTATAATCCTCATTATTTTCCGACTTGACGGTCTCGGCAAAAAAACAGTGCATTAATGATTGTTTTCTCTCTGGACTATGTAATGTTTCTGCCAGCTTTATTAGTTGTAGCTTCATTTGTATATCTCCTTCCACGCATGAGGTCTCTTTTTTCAGTCTTTCATTTATCATGTATGTTAAATAATCTATAGAAGATTTAACGTTAACATTGCGCACCAGCTGCAGAAAATCGATACTGGAAATAATGAGCAATTCATCGATTGGTATCTCCATAAATCTTTCGAGGCAAGCTGAATAAGTTACGTCTATAAGCGTGGACAGGCTTAACTCTCGCGACAATTTCCAGATGTCCAAAAGGAGTTCGGGCTTTAACCAATGTTGAATGATTATGTCACTTAACTCAAGACTCAAATCTTCAACTGTATAAATAATACTAAGTTCGAGTAATTGCTTGAGATAATCAAAGCTATCAGAAAGGAATTTCTGTAGCGATATTTTGATTTGATGTGATTCGTTGGGACGTACACGAGGAGGATCTTCTTCTATCCAATCACAAAAATCCTTAAATCAATAAATTCTTAATAAATTAATAACTACTAATGATTTATATAAAATATATAATCGGCATATCGCATATATCGAACCTAATTTATTATAATAAATTTATTATAATAATTTAATAAATTAAATGTCGAATAAAATTTGTATAATTTCAATGTACAAACAAACTTTCTTTAAATATTTTATCGGTGTAATAGTTAAAAGTACATTTATATATATATATATATATATTTGCTGATTTACATATCATTCGTTTACAAATATCTATAACGACTATAATCTGATAAAAAATGTCGTTTTATTGTTTAATATCTACGAATTTCAGAAAACCAGTGTGCGACTAGGTAATAAGTTACGATAATGAGAAGAGACAAAGTAAATTTTACTTGCAACCTCACAAAATACGAAATTTGTATTGCTGCGAGATGTGTTGTTATAATCGCTTTATTGTGTCGAATATCTAGAAGAGCGTGATAAGAACTGAAGATATATACTATCGTTGTATGTACTGCGACAAAATAAGAGAGTGAGATGGAAAAGAGGGTAGAAGGTCCATGGAGGATTGTGTACATTATATATAGTGTGAGATCTACCAAGGGTCATCTATTGAAACGATACACTTGGAAAATACATTGATATAAGAAATACAAAAATCTGAATAGTAACACGAGGAACCGAAATAAATATTAAAATAATTGCCAAATTACTATTTACGTTCGAATGCGAAATCATCATTTTTTATTTTATACAGATGAAATAAATACTATGAAATTAAAATAGTAATTTTCAAAAACCTACACTTATATACTTTTATTTCGTAACGTAAATATCATATATTAAATATATTTAATTATAAATTAATAATTACAGATTATCTAACAAAAAATCTAAAAAAATTAAGTTTAAATTTCATTTATTATGGAAATAAATTTAGAATTAATTTCATTATATTTAATCTTCGTAGAATAAAATTGTACCAAACTTATATTAAATTAAAGATATTTATTGTAATAATATGTTCAATTTATTCAAGATGTTTATTTTCTAAGAATAAGTTAGTTTTATTTATTATTTTTTCTTTAATTAATGACCGATCTTTAGTTTTTTTATCTTATTCATTTTTATTTCTCTCATACACTCATATTCTCCAATTCACTTGATCTTTTCTATATTCCGTCTTTATGCATACGTGTATATTCTTTTTCTCTCCTTCCTTCACTACCGCTCATTTTATCCCAGTCGTACTGAATACTTTTATGTAGTCTTGTTTGTCTATAGTATGATAAAGTCAAATAAATCAGGTCATAATAAGTATGAAAAACTAGATTTAATTGATACGTATTTTTATAACAATTTACAATGAAACATCTTTCATAATATAATTAATAATTAAGAAAAAATTATAATGAATAAATAAGAAACAAATAATAGTGCTAAGTTGTTTTTGCCAATGCTAAAGTACTGCTAACAGTTTTTTCATACTAATGAATTTATATTAAAACGAATGGCGCAAATCCTTATTTTATAAGTTGTCAGTTCCACTAAATTACATTTATGAGCTATAATGTTATAGACTAAGTCAAGTTTACTTGAGTAAAATAAATAAATTTACACTATATGCTTCATTTGTTAAGTGATCTCGTTGTCATTATGAAAACTATATCATTTTCTTATTTGGCACCAATCTCATCGCCATTTAGACTAATTAAACAATTTTATCTCAGTTGAAATTATCAGAAAAAAGATTCAATTGACAGAACAAATCAAATTTGTCACAAAATGTTCCAAAAATGCTGATTTGATTTATGAATCTCTTTTCAAATGAATAATATTAACAACAACTTACGCAATTTTGTTAATAAATAATTTTCTAGACGAATAAAAAATACTGCAATTGCCACTTCGAAGAAGTTTAATTGTTTAGAAGTTTAATCTATATTATCAAAAAGTACTCGATGAAAATAAATTACTTTGTTATGAACATGAAATATTATTATAAAATACTTTCTCGTTATTATTTTATACATTCAATTACAAAAATTAGTTAAATAAAGCAATTTTATTTTATTTTTAAATATTTTCTTTAGTATAGTAATATATTAAATATAATTCTAAACAAATCATATTATAAATAAATAAAATTGTATTTAATATGAAAATAGTAGAAATTTACGTAAAAATTATGAACATGATCATTCTAATGTCAAAGTTGTCAGGTTTTTAAAAAAAAATTTTATAATTATCGCAAATATCAAATTTGAAACTTGTATTTGTAATGAGTAATTATAATACCCAATTGGTATAGCTATATGAAATTATTTAAAAACGAATTATTCAAATATTTTAAAAAATATACAAATTTAATAGATTTATAGTGTTTTATATAAATTAGTATTATAAATTGCAAAAAATTGACACAAAGTGTACAAAATTCTAATTAAATTGCTACATATGAAATATGTAATTAATTTTAAATCACATGCTTTCTTTTTTTAAATAAACTAATATTACACATTATTTTTACAATGATTATGTGAAGTAATCCATCAAAAAAGGTGTATACAAATTTATTTGCTTAGTGCCTAATACAACAGGTATCATTACATTATTATATTTTACAGCAAAACAACTGAAGTGTACGATAGTATATCGCAGTATGCAAGAATGAATACATTTTACCATGATTATATTGACTCAAAGAGAAACTAAGATCGTCACATGATCAAAAACAAAAACTTAGACGTGACCTTTTACATACATTTAAAAATCATAATGAAATATAAAAATAGCGGTGATAAAGATTTGGCAAACATTTTTAGATTAAATAAATGTTTATTTATTACCTGTAAAACCGAGGGCGCGACTTTGTAATTGACCGCTTGTTCATTATCCTTGGAGTCACTGAAGTTATGATTAAATAACGACTCGAAATAGCGACTTCTCTCAATAATTCTTTTCTTGTCGACGTGAAAACGAATATCTCCTAGGATTAGCGTTATCCTCGCCGTGTCCGTCATCTTTCCTCCCCTGACTTCTTTAATCCCCCACCCCCCTGTTTTTGCTCTAACACGCTTAGACTCTTTCTTTCTTCTGAATTTCAGACAATTATCGTGTATTATCTGGAATACTACGCCTCACATCTTCATTCTAAAGTTTATAATTTTTTCGTATACAGCCATAAAGGAACAGCTCAACAAACCGACAAGTAATAACAACACTTGTGCGAAACTTCAGAAATTCAGCATAGACGTGCATATAAACAAAAATATGCGGCTTCTTTGCAGCAAGAAGCTGCTGCTGCCTTTGGCTCCGGTTTTGCACGCGCCTGCGCTTAACTAAGATTAGGTTAGACAAATAATTTGAATTGCCTAAAAAAAGTGGGGATCAAAACTCCTGTAAGGAAAGATATCTTTTTTATTGTATAAAACGCTCCTTTTTATTTTTTATCAACTACTTTAAGCATAAATATATATATATAACTCTATTAAATTATATATACCTGTGTTTGTGTGAATTATAAAATATGTAACATTCATATTTAAAAATACAACATTTAAAACCACCACCGTAAATTTAATATTTTATTTATTGTTTCTACTATTCCAAATATATTAATTCAAACAATAATCTGACATACTAAAACAATATGAAAAATATATTGACAAATCTATCCAATAATAAATAATTGAGAGTTTACCATAAAACCTACAAAATATATTGTTTATAAAAGTAGTTTGCATATTTATAAAATTATTGTTACTAAGTACTTTGGACTTTAAAAAAAAAAACAAATTCGTATTTAAATTACCTTACTAAAATAGTTACTATAAAATAAATCACTTAAAATTTTAATTATTTATAAAAATATTAACATCACTATTGGTATAAATAAAAAATACATCACATTGAAAAAAAATTATGCTTTATTACATAGAAAATACAAAAAAAATTTGACTTTATTTATTGTGAATCACTTGATGAGCTGCTTGATGAATCAGTTGACATAACTTCTACATCTTCAGATTCTTGTTTATGAGTATTAATTGGTACAGTTCCTTGACCAGCTACAGACATATGAATTTCACCTGATGGATGCCAGGCAAAATGAGTAGCATGAGCAGCAAGAGGTTCAGTGGTGGGTCCTGTTCTATGTAAATCAGAAGAAATATTAGAATGAGTTCCAACCATTTGACCATTTAATGGGAGATCGCTTAAGCGCCCAAGACATCCTAGCCTCATTTCTATGTCTGTTGGATAAGGTCTTCTAGGATCACCCTGCTGCCAGGTAAGAGGAGCACATATAGCATTTGATGCACTAATTCTATGAGCAAATTTAATAAGTTCTTCGGATGACACAGGTCTTTTATTTGCTCTTGCAATGGATTGAAGTTTCTGTTTAGCCTGATAAATAGCTGTTGCTAAAATCTGCTCTGCTTCCTTAAGCTGTCGTTGTAGTTGTTGAATGTCTTGATCTTGGCGATCAACTTCATCTTTGAGAGCTTCCATTCTTAAATTTATTTTTGCTTGTTCATCAGCTTTAATTAAAATTGTTTTGAGTTCATTGTCTTTACTTATTAAAAGTTCAATGAGATGTGTATGTTCAGCAGTAGATAGTTTTAAATGCTTTTGAGCAATTATATTTTCAATTAATTCTTTGGCTATTATTTCAATGTCATCAACAACAGATAATAAAACTTCGCAAGTACTTCTATTTATTGACATTTTGTATTCTTATTTTTAGCTAAAGATGTATATTATTTAAAATTTTAATGAATATATATCTGAAAATAATATGAAACTAATTATTAGAATTATTCTTTACTTGTACATATGGTTAATTAATTATTTAATCGGATAAGTTTATTTTAAAATTTTTAATCGATAATTAATTAAAATTTAGTAATAACGTTAAAAATTTGCAATAAGTAAAGAAGAAATTACAACGTACTTTTTACTATAAGTAGAGTGGTAATGATGCACTATGCGTATACGAAAGTTTTAGAATAAACTGTAAACAAATAAGATAAAAGATACCGAGAATAAAAACTAACCTTATCTGACAGTTTTTCCACGCAGATGCCAAAATTTACCTAATAGAAAAAAGAGAAAAGTGAGACAACAAGAACAGGATATTTTCTTTCCTTCTTGCATACGTGCTTTTATAATATATTTATGTGTGTGTGATTATATGTGTATGTTTAGTAGCGTCGTGCGATCCTGAGAAAAATCGTCCCGAAGGTGACGAACTCGGGATTAATAGATACATGTGATAATGGATCGCGAGCTCATCGAAAAGTTTATCGAAGTCACAGGCAAGTTACTTCAAACATATCATGTAAATTTTATTTACCAAACTATAAATTTGGTTGAGGTTATGTTTATAATACATTTTATAAATACGCTTTATTAATTTCCGATCTAAATTTAAGAATGCTTCTGATAATATTTAAAAATGGAATTAATATAAACGTTTTGGTCTACCATTTTCTTTATACTTTCGTTATTCTTATCTCATTTTTCAGTTATAATTATTTCGTATATTGATATAAATATATTTGATACATATATATTTCTAATTTTTTTTTATTGCAAGTAATTTGCTGTGTTATTAACTTTTCTTCCAAACTTTTAACAAATCATTTTGTATTAGAGATCAATTTCAATCCTTGTGAATAGCAATTGATATAATCATTTTAAAATACTTATTTTTTGATATTCATATATTATTTTTTAAATTAAAAGTTTAAAAATTGTTTCTGATTAATAGGTGAAGGTGAAGAAATAGCTGCCCAATACTTGGCTCTTGCAGATGGCAATTTAGAGTCCGCTATAAGTCTTTTATTCGAAGCTGGAAGTTCTGCACCAAGTGCAGAACAAAGATCAATTGTAAATGTTGAAGATGAACCAGAAGTTCGAGCACCAATTCTACCAACTCAGGAAGTTCTTGTTCCACCTGATGTCACTTGCTCGTTTCCAAGGGCTTCTAATAATATATTTGACCGATTTAGAGATTTTGCAGTTGAAACAAGTATAGATAATACTTTTATATAACTAAATTTTTATTTATTTATAATTATTTTCATTCAAAATAACATATTATTTAATTGATTACAAAATATATAAATATAATTTCAGTGAAATTTTTGTATCTAAAATAATATGCATTCGTAGTTATAGAAGATATACATTTATAATAAAATATTCACTATTAAGTATATATTATCCTAAAAGCTGTAAACATTTTATAAAAAATTTCATATAAAATTTTTCTTTTCAATATTTTAATATAAGTATTATGAATCAATATATTTACATTAATTCTTATGAGTTACATGCTTGTATACATGTGCATTCTATATAAATTTTGGAAACTGAATTCAACACAAATTTGTGAATATATCATATATGAATTCTATAATTTTAATTATACAGATATTAAACTTTATAATAATTTTGATTAAATAACATTCTAATTAATCAAAACTTATCCAAATTTATTTGAAATGATTAATGAAATTTAAATATATATTTTATTACTTTTTGTCTTAAAAAATATTATATTAATCATAAAAGTTAAAATATATAAAAATATTGAAAATAAATATAATTTTATTTTACATTAGTTTTAAAAATAAAGTAGAAATACGTTATATATAAAAATTATAAAAATTTTTTTAGTATATATATTCTTACAATAATTTTTAATTTACAGGAAGACAAGAAGAAGAAATGACACAAAGAGCATCTGGTGCTAGAAAATCATCTCAACGTAATAAGTCAAAACGTTTGGAAGATTTATTTAGACCACCCTGTGATATACTATTTCTAGGTACATTTAACGAAGCTAGAGAGCATGCTAAAAGTATCAATCGCTGGTTACTTGTTAATGTACAAAATCAACAAGAATTTGCTTGTCAAATATTAAATCGAGATGTTTGGCCAAATCAACAAATACGAGAAATTATAAATGATCATTTTGTTTTATGGCAGGTTTGTAGTTATATATCTATTGATTAAAGTTGTATAATATTAAGCAAAATTTTTCATACAGGTTTTATCAAATTCTGTTGATGGAAAACGTTATATTGACTTTTATAATGTTTCTGGCTATCCATATTTAGCTATCATTGATCCTAGAACTGGGGAATGCATGAGATCATACAATCACATAACAGTTGATAGTTTAGTTTTTGGTTTAAATGATATGCTTAGTACGCACGCATCTCCTGAAAATGTTGAATCTACACCTAGTAAAAAAAAATCTGATCCTTCAGAGTCAACTTTTGTAGAAAATCTACAAAGTGATGCCATCTCTAATTCGGTAATAAAAAAAGAATAGATAAATGAAGTTTTTCAGAAATATTAATTTAAATTATTTAATTTTATATTTTGTATTTTATTGATTAATTAATTCAAGACTAATAAGACTTATTTTTTAATCACAAATATTTGCAAAAACAAAAAGTATTTGAATTATTTTATGTGTAATTATTAAATTTGTTCTTGTAGTTATTAAACAATAGATTTGAATATTTGGAACTAAACTATTTATTTACAATAAATAATAAAATAGCTATTTGTATTAATTACATTTTACAGAATATACCTTCAAATACAAAAAGATCACGAGCACTAGACAAAAATGCAGGAGCTAGTAGTTCGAACTCAGGTAATTTGTGGAAATTACTTTCTAATAAAAATTGTTATAATAAATGTTGCAATCATTTTTCAATTTGTTAATAATAGATTATAGAGACATTAAACCCAGTACAAGTATCATAAGTACAATAAACAGCACATCTAATTTTATTAGTAAAAGGTCTCGAATAGATGAAATGGGTTCAAAAGAGCAAGAAATGCAGAAAAATAATGAATTAAAGACTCCAGTAGATGTTAATGCTCCAGTTATAAAACTTTGTCTTCGTTATCCGAATGGAGCTAAAGAAACTATATCTACTTCATCCCACGATACAGTGGCGGTAAGCTTATTGATAACAATTTCTATGTTAAAACTATATATAAACATAAAAAGATAGCCATATTTATTTAATAATATTTAAATAATATATTTAATAAAATTATAAATTTTCTATTTAACCACATTGAAATACTATTACTATTCAACTTCAACACTATAGTGATGCATTAAATTATTTTGTTGTTACTAGTTACTAATATAATAATAAACTAATAAAAACTAATAAATCTAGAAAGAAAAATATATATTGTAATAAAATATAAAATTAATAATTTTTTATTTAGTAGTTTAATTAATTATTTTAATATTCAAGTCATATTTAACCATCACAATTATTATCATAAAAATTAAAATATATGAATTTTTTATAGTCCCTTTTTATAGTTAAATTGATAGAATTTCGTCTTTATGATATGACTTAGGAAATACTAAATAATTGATAAATCTAAAATCATTTGATTCATAATAATACACATTAAAAATATATAACATAATATTCATACTATATAAATATATTATTTATACATTTTCATTTTCTTTTTATAACTTCAATTAAAGTAACTTATCAATCAATTGATCACTCATAAAATATTATACTTACAGGATTTTATTAAAAGAATGGAAGATTCGGGTTATGGTTCATCAGAATTTACATACCTTATACAATTTCCAAAAATGAATATTGGTGAACTCTCTATGAATTTGCGATTATCAGAGACTATTCTCTATCCTTCCAACACAGTATTTATAACAAAAATTTAGTTGAAAATCTAACTATTTCAAGATCGACATAATGGAAATATAAAATATCAACGAAATAAAGACTTGAGGTGTATTGAATTGTAGTGTGTGCCGAACTTCCGTTTGATTCTTATTGATATTTACAAAATTCAATTAAATTAACAATATAAAATGAAATTATGAAATAAAAATCATTCAGAATTTATGTATGTAAAACAAGTTACAATTCTTTATAATATACAAACATTAGGATAAATAAAAACAGTTTTACTTGTATAATTGTGAGTACAATATTTTGAAATATTTAATATTAAAAGTTTTGTATTAATGCATTAAAAAATAAAACAAAAATGTAAAAAGTCAATTTCTGATTTCTGAATGATTTTTTTGTACCTATTTCCCTTGTGATTAAAAAGAGTCAATAGTGATTGTACATAAATGAATTTTCGAATTTATGTTCTCCATGCTCCAAACGGCACTGCCAATTCAAACTAATCATTATTTTATTTCTTCCTGTTAACATACTATTCAATGCATAATATAACAATAGATTATTTATTTTATAAAATTATTGCTTAAAAATCAAACAAAAGGTTCTGACTAGATACTCAAGAAATTACAGTAACACAAAACATTCGACATGAATACTTTTAATGAATAATGCTTTAATGAAAAATCATGATTTGAAATGTAAATGACAATTTAAGTAATTATAAGAAATTAATTTTTGTATTGTATATGATTTTAGAAAAAGTTTATTAGTAGCAAAATTATAAAATAAAAGTAATAATGTATTAACAAAATTACAAAAGTTGCATTGAAATTACTTTTCTTAATAATTTTGAATATAAAAAATTGATACTTCTGTAAAATACTTATCGTAACTTCATCGTGTACACTCTTAACATATTTATTTAATTAAAAATAAATATGTTTAAGTAATGGCAAGTTACTTTAAAATAATAAAAATTCACTTTTGTTTGTTAAATAAAAATATAACAAAACTCATTTTAGCTGGTGCCTTTGTCAATAATCACAATTTTCAATTTTCATAAATAGAATCGATTAGAATTTATAAATTGATGTAATGTCTTGTAATTATCAGTAATTTTTTGCTTTTCCTAAACATCTTGCAGCAAACTGACTAAGGTATTTCTTCCACTTTTGAATATTTCGTTTGTATATTTGAGACAAATTATTCAATTTTACGTATGTAAAAGGTTTGTGCACATAATGCTGTACCTGATAAATTTTCTATAAAAACAGGCAGTAAAAACCAAATAAGATTCAATTAGTCTTCAAACAATTTCTTATGTAAAAAATAAATAGAAATATAATTTATTGCCTTTTTATTAAGATGATTAAATATTATATTTATTACAATTTCAATTTATTCCTTTAATAAATTTATATCTTTAACCAAGGTTATCTGAATAAAAGCATAAATTATTTACAAAGAACAATAATATTGGCTAATAAATTAAATAATGTTAGAAATATACATTGATAAATGAGTAAATATTATGGTTTATCCATATAAATTAGAAGCAATTCTAATAGTTAATAATACAAGTAAAACTACTGTATTATAACTAAGTTTGATTTAAAAAAAAATGTAAATGTTTTTCTTGTGCTTTATAAAGTTAGTATAACTAAAAATATGTTAATTAGTACAACTATACATTCACACAATGTATTTCACATTTATTTGATTTAATAAAGAATGTTATATTTCTAAGTAACATTATAACTTGATTTTATCTAATAATATATGAAAACAAAATTAACAAAAAAATTACTCTTGTAATGTAAAATCAATTTTTAATAATTTCATTGATATTAAAATATAATATTTGTTTAAGTTTATAAATATTAATATTAATACTACACATCTAGCATTTAAATATATGAAAAACTTTTTAATATAATTGTGCAAAATTATTTTTTTAAGAATACAAATGATGTTTAATGAATATTAGTCACTTAAACCATTAATTATTGTGAAAAATATACATGCGATATAAAAATAAGCAAATTTACAGATTAATAGTACAATAATAAATTACAGTCAAGTAATCAACACTTATTTAAACGACTTGTTAATTCTTATTTTTACAGTAATTATACTTAGATTATAATATCTAGGAATAAATTTAAGTAATTTTATTTAATCAAATAATGCTGGCTCCATACCAAGATGCTCCAAAAAATAACCCATTGGACTTCTTTTTAAGCTAACTCCTTCCATTTTGTTAATAAATTTGTTCTTTAAACTTCTTAATCTCAATGATGCATGTATAAATATCACTTAATATGATAGAAATTCAAATATTTAAAAATTGATGTTAATATGTTATTTAAGAGAAATCTAAAATTATATTTTATAAAAATGTATTTACCTGCAAATGGCAGTAAAATGCCCATTAAAAATACTAATAAGGAACCCACAGTATAAATTAAAAAACAACCTGTAATTAACATAATAAGAGTTCCAGCACGTGGATACTGTTTTTTAAAATTGTGTACTGCTCTTCCTTCTGTAGATATATAAGCAAAAAATAACAAAATTAAACAACAGGCTAACATTCCAAGAAGCATTTTTTCAGGATGCATCAACCTAGACAAAAAAATTTTGACTGTTCTTTATATGCAGTTTATATTTACAAATAAATACACATATTCTCTAATTTTAAATATAAAAAACATTAATTATAAAATATATATTTTTTATTTGTACATAAAATATAAAATTCAAAAATCCAATAATTTATTTCAATCTCATTTATATATAATTTTAACGAAAACTTTATATCCATAGAACTTAATTTATAATTAATACATTAATAGACAAATGTATTAATAATAATTAATCATTATTAAATCTATCTAAGTATATCTATTAATTATTATTATCTATTGATTTATCATTAATAATATACATATTATAAGATTTACTCATTTAGTCATTAAAATAAATTAAATTTATTTCATAATTACTCACCCAACAAAACTAAAAATGATAGCAGCTGTGAAATAGTAATTCGTTTGATAATAAAGTAAATTATTAAACACACGATTTCCCCATTTATCGAAATCATTGAAACTCGGTATTTGAAACCGAGCAGAATCTAAAATAAAATCATTGATGCTTCTTAAAGGAGGCAGTTCTAACCCTGAAATAATCTGTTTGTCTCTGGAAAAGTGTGCCATTTTTTTCAAATACAAAAAAATTAAATATATATTTTCTTTACTTTACACCCTCGAATAGGTGTAAAATATCCGAGTCCCTTGTTTTCTTTTGAGGGAGCTATATTAAGTTAGATATATAGAAATTTTAATATGCATATTGATAATCACGCACCCCAATCTATATACAATATGAATGCATAACCTAAATTATTACAATTTCGGCCATTTAGAATTTATAATTGATAAAAATACATAATGTAATGAATCAATATACTATTTATATATTATTCATATTAGTAAATTTATACTTTAACTAATAATACTTTCGCAATTTCTATAAATACTATAAATAAGAAATTATATAAAAAAATGGTTTTCAAAATAAATTAATTGATTCAACTAGCATTTTTAAGTAATAATATTATATTGAAATAAATATTAATTTCTATATAAATTTCTCCCTGAATACAACAAAAGCAGTATTTTTATTTAATTCTTTTATTTCACGCTAATGAATTTGTAATAGTAGATAGAAAAAAAGTTACATTTTTTTCTAATGAATACTTTTTAAAAAATTACATTTTGTAAAATTTTAATGATCCATGATTATCTGTTAATATAATTAATATCACGTTTTTGATAATTCAAATTAAATACGGAAAATAATTTATCAATCGTTTATCCCTGATAAATATACCGATCAATTATTTCATTAAGAAATTTTGTCAATTGAGAAAATTGATGAAAAACTTCATTGTTAATTTTTTTTTTCATTTTTGAATTTCTATGACTTTGAACTTTACTGGCATATCCTCTTTAATCCTGCTGCTTTAATATGATTGGTTCGTACCATAGTATGTAATTTCGTATTGGTTCGACTCAATGACATTCCAAAAATTTTTGCGAAGGCATGTGCACGAATGATGATCAATATTCATGATTTTGCCGATTTTTTAAATCAATACAAAATATCTTATTTCTCGGAGTGAATAACAAGTAAGTAAAATGTGTGTAAAATGCACTGTAACATTTCAATTTTTCGTTCATGCAATATTATAATAATATAATTGTTATATATATGTCTTTATGTATGTTTAATAAATATTTATTATGTTTAATCTTCAACTATTGCTATTATATACTATTGTGCTGAAATTACTACGCGTTTGGATTGCATTTTATATTTAAATATTTTAACTTGATGTTACTTTTTTAATAAAATTTGTCTATTCTATCGAAATGTATATATTTTGTAAATATTTAAGTAGAATTATTGTGTATGAAACTGGCGCTATTAAGTAATGCATATTGTGATGTGCAAATTGAAGTCTATTTTTTTTGGACAAAATTTATAAAAATTGTACTTATTGTAATATACCTCAAGGAAACAAGTATTTTACGTGCCGCAATTGATAAGTAAGAAAACATTAAATTGCTTCTATATCCCAATAAAATATTTTAATTTTTAGAAATTTTAGTTTCTCATTAGTAATTCAAAGCACTTAGATAATTTCAAAAGTAAACCAAGAATACAAATTCGAAATTTAACCAGGAATGCAAATGGTATAATTTTACATTACTTTAAATGCTATAAAAATAATATTTGTATAGCCTATGCTCAAATCATGAAGCGTTCACTACTCCATTGTCTTTTGTCAGCTGGCCCAACAGACACGTTGACTTTGTTGTCGTCCATCTCGTGTTGCTTTTCATATTACGTATTGTTTGCTTTTTGTCAATTATTTTTATCAACAATGACAAACAAATAAAAATTAACCAAATACGTATAGAATTTTACACTATATGAAATTTTTTATATTAAAAAATAATTATTTAGTATTAAAGGTTGATAATTATAAAAAAAAAGTGTGAAGCTATATTTGATTGAGTAACTGCGTATAATATCGTCAATACATGTAATTCTATTTTAAGATAAAGTTTTTTTTTAACTTTTTTTTACAATAAATCATTTTTCTTATTACGTTTAGAATTTAATACTTGTATAAAATTATAGATATTTAGAAATAAAAGTAAATATGATTAAAAAGAAAGTTCCTTTACCAGTTATTGGTAGCTTTAGTTGTATAACTTTTTTTAAGACATTTTTTATTAATGTGGAATAACTTTCAAATTTTTAAATGACTATACTTATACTTATTGTGACTGTATAGAACATATATGTCTTTTTAATAATTATAAACTGTTTTAATGATTGATATGTAAATTTTGCTTTTCATGTTTGATATTAAAAATTATATTTTTATAATTATATTATAGTATAAAATTATATAATTATACTTTTATCATATTTATATTTATTACAGAACAAATTAATTTGGGACTTTTCTTTTTATGGAGCCTGTTAAAATGTAAGTACATCAATAATATTTTATATTTTAATAATTTTGTTATTTTAAACAAATATAACATTTTGAATGGTAATAATAAAATATTAAAGACAAATTTACTTATTTTTAATACGTTATTGTATTATAAAGTATATTTTTTAAATATTTATATTGTAACTCTGTATAAGTAATTAATAAATTATAATGATATTTATTATTTTTTTATATGATGTTTTAGAAACATATATTGAAATTAGTAAAGCAATTTAGATCATGACTTCTAACAATGAATGGATAACTACACCACAAAAAAGAAATAGTTTAAATAAGAAAAGTAGAGAAAATCAAATCAAATCACTTCGTCAACTAGAAGAATTATTTGGTTCAATTTATGAGTCAGATGTTCTAGAATCAGTTGCAAAATATTATAATTGGAAAGGTGAATAAATTATATCATGGAAATGTTACTTTTTTATTTTAGCTAATTTTTATTATTTTATCAAATAGATTTAATCTATTGCCAAAATAAAAATTAATTTATGAAATATATTTTTAGTGGACTATGCTGTCGAGGCCCTTGTAAATTTATCGTCAACTTATGTACCTCAATCCCAATCGGCTGTCAAAATCTCAAAGAAAACAGAGAAATACACAGATAGTTCATGGATATCACAGAAGTCTTCTAACGTTGACAATATAGAAGAAATGATTGATTCAAAATTCCAAAATACAAAATATAATTTCAAATTATCAGAACATGAAGTCCAAAAAATATGTAAGAAGATGCCAAAGGTGAAGAATCTCCTTCCTGATAAAGATGTTAAGCCTGAGCAACCCAGAAGTGAACCCAGTATGAAGGTGGGTACTGAGTCTTTGTGTGGGTTAAAAGTACAATATCGATTGAAAGGTACAGAGAATTCGGATGATGATGCTGATGTTGTTATTGAAGAGGAATCTAGTGATTACATAATTGACACTCCTGAGCCAGAGCATGTCAACGTTTGCCAGTTCATGTCCATGCATACTCAGTGTTCACCAAGAAACACATTCCCAAAGGTTTTTAATTTTGCCTTATTTGTTGTTGCAATTTTTTGTTTCTGGGCATGTGATAGTTGAAATTTAAAATAGTAATTAAGATTATTATTGATTTCAAAAAGCTATATATATTTTTTACTATAATTAATAATATTAAACTCACTGCATTTGATTTATTCCTAATTTTTTTAAAGCAAAATATTTCTTACTACTGTTTTTAAAATTATAACATAAAAATGTAACTATAATAAAACTCACAATAATAGACAATCACAGATACATACAAAATATCAAATATTACCATAGTATATATTAAGTACCATTTGTATTTTCTTTTTGTAAAAATATGTATAATGATGTTATGAATTTAATCAGCCTTATTCATTTATTTAGTAGTAACATAATTTTTAATAATAAAAATAATATCATTTTCATATTTTAACAGTAATATTTTTGTTAAATTCTTAATAGTGACTTAACTACCACTGCAACAAATTAGTTCATAATTAATAGCTGGCTTTTTTAGAAAATGAGACGAATCATACGATCACATAATTATTTTTTCCATTTATTCTTTAAAACATTGAATTTTTTCTTTGTAAAAGAAACAAAAAATAAGGACAAATTATATACCAAAGGGAAATGTTGTAGAATAAAATTTAAAATATTTTGTTTTTCTCTAACTTTTTAGTTAAAGTTTTCATCACATAGTCAATTGGTCATATAAAAGACCAATATGTATATTATATGTTCGTAAAATTGTCGATAATCTCATTTTCCAACGATTTACACGAACGACCAATATAGTAATAATGTATATCGATTTTTATGAAAAAAAATTAACGATTTACGCAGGTGACGATAAACACGCCGTCATCAGCCATGAGTCAGTGCTCATCACCATCTATATCAACACTCATCGAAAGCCGTATCGAAGCAGATATTAACAAGGGATACAAAATTCTAATCATTATGCGTGGTGCACCAGGAAGTGGTAAAACATGTCTCGCCCGGAGCATCGTAACAAGAACAATGGGCGGTGATTACACTAATCACATCTTCAGTGCCGACGATTACTTCTTGAAGATAAACCGGGGCGTTTATGTGTTCGATTCGTCGAAGGTCCAGGAGGCCCACTATTTCAATTTTAAACGAGTGTTACAAGCCTTACAACAGGGAAGAAGTCCTATTATAGTTGACAATACAAATACCAGAGCTTGGGAAATGCAGCATTTTGCATGCATGGCGGTACTATATGTTTACACTATATCATTTTTATATGGACGTTCGCGGTACCAGATAATAAAACAATTCAATACAAATTTTTAATTTAATTACGGATTCGCAGGTCACTTATTCCGGAAAATAAAATAAGTTACCTAATTTATTGATTACAACTTATACTGCAAACTTAAATTCTTCAATGGTTTCAATACTGGTGCATAGAAAGAAAACAATTCATTATTCTTTTAAGTTAAAAAGTTTATCATAACTCTATTATAGAAATAAAAATAGAATCATTTCCCAATGTTATGATCTTTTTTTTTTTAATTACGAAGTTATTTAAGAGTATCTGTTTCTAAATGGAATAAAAAATTAGAGAAATATAAACCAAGAACATAAAAGAATAGAATTTTGCCCATATTTTCATTTCTATTAGTTATATATATATAAAAAAAAAAAAAATAATAAAAAAAAATGCAATTTTAAAACTTAAAAATCCAAAGAACAAACTATATTGCAGGTTCCATATGGCTACATAGTGGAAACCTTGGAGCCGAATACGCCTTGGTTTTTCGACGCGCGCGAGCTAGAACGACGTAATACATACGGCTTGACCAAAGCGAAAATCCGTGTATTCCTTGACCGCTATGAGCCTAACATAACTGGCAAACATCTGCTAAAGATGTTTTCGCTAAAGTATCACAAAGACAATCAGCCACCTCAAATTCGCCAAATACCACCTTTTCTAATCGAGAAGCAGATTGCCGTAGCACAACCGAATCCAAATGACTATTATTTCCACAAACCGACGGACAATGATCAAACTAAGGTACACGTGCAATTTATCGTTCACAATTCAAATGTTTCGAACATTTACTAAATTTATGGCCGTACCTGATTCTAATTGATTAACAAAAGCTGTGAAAGCAATGAATTATTTAGATTTTAATTAGATTCGGAATTTGGCAGTTTTTAAATATCACTTAGTCAAATGTTTTTAAAAAGTCGAGTATTAAAATATAAATATGAGCATAATATTTGTAATGGCTTTTCTTATAATGAAATTAATTTTATATATTGTGAAAATTAGATTGAAGTTGGGAACGATATTCAAAATATTATATGCTTACAAGGTTATATTGTATACAAATTTGCTGTTCTTAATAAACAATTGTGAAAAAGAGTTAAAATAAAAATAATAATTTTTACCTAAAGTACAAAAAAGTAGAAAATATCAGTATATTAATTTTATATTGATACTTGCCATCTTGACAAATAGCTGCTGATAGACAATGAGGCTTTGAACACGATAGCCCAAAAGTACTCAAAGCCAAAGGCTGTCGCCAAAAATACGAGGAATAGCAACGCCATAAGCGTCATAAAATCCTTCGACGAATCGTGGACGGCAGGTAGCTCGTATAAAGAGGATAGCCTTCCGGAGATATCAAAACTTGGGGCTATTGGTTCAGAGAGACGAGTGGCACAAGGCGCATACCCACCAAAGCTTCAGGATAACAATATCGAGCAGTCGCAGACGGAGTTGAAAGTAGAGATGCTTACGGAAATAACGACGGACGCTCCGGAAGATTATGGAGATGTAGAGAGGATGATGCCCGAGACAAAGAAGGATAGTACTGTATCGAATTGCTGGGATTTTACGCTACTTCTCGATGGCAGGCAGATACATAGTAAATTTGAAAACACCGATAGCGTATGTTTACATTGTTTTAATAATTTTCATATTGTACAGAAACATTGAATTTTTTTAAATTACACTCATATACAATTATATAATTTTGCATAGTTTTTGTTTGGAGTACGAATTATTCTATTTGAATTGTTTATTTTAAATTAAAAGAATTATAAGTTGAAGTATTATCTGTAAGTTTCATAATTTTTTCTTGCTGAATTTATTAAGTAAAGTAAATGTCGGAATCAGTATATATAATGGCATTTCATTATTCTATTTTCAATCCATTTTCTTATACAGATAGTAATAAAAATAAACCATGTTTCTGTTTTATTCACACTTTACTCCCCTTTGATACCTTGATACCATTATATATACTATATAAGTTAATTTTATATACTGTTTAGATGTATTACATATCTATTACATTGAATTTTTACGATTCTTAAATATCTATTAATTAAAATGTTTTTTGTTTTTTGTTTTTTTTTTTTTTTTTAATAAAAACAATATAAATAGATGAGAAATCTTTTTTTCGTTTTGCTATCCAAAAATTAAACAAAATTCTTAATACTATTTCTATAATATAATTGTTAAAATCTTCAATCTGAAAAATAAATAAAATATGTAAATTACTTTACATAAATATTAAGAATTTAAATATTAAAATTTAGAAAATTTCATTCGTATTACTTATAATTATCATTATTATTATGTATAATTAATTATATCATACGTTTTTATTATTATAAAGAGGAGCAGAATAATAAATCATTTTTCAAAACGGGCGTTAAAAAACGTTGATTTAATGAATTATTAGAAATTAATAAGATACAAAACTTTCTTTTTTCACTGAATCAGAAGCAAATTAGGAACGTTCATTAATTGAAATTCTTATGTATTAGAATGAGATAGCAGTAGTGATTGACAAGCTGGTCGACAAATCCAATTTAATGAACAGTTATATCGAAGACACGGAAGTATCATGCATTCTATCAGCGAAGCTTAATGATGATTTTTTGTCTATTGAGGATCCTCGAACATCTTCAGAACCTTCATTGATTAATCTTACGGAATTGAATCTGGACACACAGCCCACATTCGAAAATTTTCATAAGATTCCGACGCCCGATGTTCTTCAGGAAATACCGACATTAATCGATACCAGGAGTAACAGTCATAGTAGCAGCTTAGAACGTGTCTCAGATATTGATATCTCGCAATTTGAAATATGTAATGCAGAGCTTGTTGATGAAATGAAAAAACCAAACGACAAATTAATATGCGAACATGAGAGTGCTGAAAAGCAGTCCAGCGGTGGCAGCTTGGGATTACTCTTTAACTTCATCAAAAATTCCTTCATCGGTAACGATAAAGAAACGTATAGTAAGCAGATGCAGCCTGATAACACTGACACGCCTGAGGTTTCTATTTTCAAATTTTCTTTTATTGTACCTGGAGCTAATTATTAGGATTGTTAATATTTACACTACATATAGACAAATACAGTGTAATATTTATTTAATTTAAGATAATTTTCTTAGTTTTTCAATTTAAAACAAATATTTTTTCAACAATATATTATACATTTAATATTTATCAAATCTTGATTATTTCGTCAAAAAACATTTTATTTATTACTTTTTTTTTTAATTTTAAGTTAATTATGTTTATAGAATATAGTTTATAAATCAATGTACAGCAATTATTTAATTTTTTTTAAAGATAAATAAAAAATTAGAGATTTATGATTATTTAGGTGAATATAATTCTATATTTAAAAAATTTAATTATTATATTCTAAGAAAAAGGATGAATTATTGACTGACTATAAAAGACCTTCTCTTTGGAATTTAAATTTCAGAAAATATGAAGTTTTTAACATTTATGTAAAAAAAGTCAGTCATTATCAAATCATTGAAGTTTTAGTTTAAAATGTTTTGTTGCATATGCTGTATGTCATAATTATACCAGTAACAATACAGGTTTATCGATACTTTCCAATACATCTGTAGAATTTTTTACGTTATTTCGAATAATAAAGTATATGTTGAAATAATAACTACATTAGATATTTTAGTGTACAATACGATATTGTTTGTATGTAAAACAGTGTGACATTTGTAATAAAAACTTTTCAAAGTTTATGATCTCAACAGTGCCTAAATTAATTAAATACAATAAAGTAAAATTGTATAGATAAGAAACAATTGAGATAAATAATAATATTTTATAGGTTTCTATTAGCTGTGACAATCAACCGGATAATGTTTTGGGTAACGAGTCACCGATAAAAAAGTCATTCTCTCCGACGCTATTGTTAGAACAATCATTAGACCTTAGCAAAGATGATGTGGATAACAATGATTCGTTGCCTATCGATGTCACCGGCTCTGATAATTACTTCGATGGCTCATTAATAAACGTCAGTCTAGACAACAGCAGCGAATTTCTTGAGTCATCCGAAAATCCACAGAAGGAGAGTGTAATAAATATCGTAGAAGAACTTCTAGAGGCCAGTTCGGACGTTCAACATGTCGAACAGTTCGATTTCCCGGACAAAAGAACGGCAACAAAAAGCGAGGAGCTTGAAAAAAATTTCAACGAACGCATGGAGGTAATACTGATGCAAATTTACTTTAGTAATTGTATTTATCAATAATTATCGAAAACTATGCAAAGAAAATTGTTTCCTTTGGTTTGATATTATTTTTCTTATGAGTCATTAGATCCATATTTTTTCTGAATATAATTTTTTACTTTATATTTATTACATTTTTTAACTTCATTATTCAAATTTATTATCTTCACTAGTGGATTTTTCATTTTATATACTTTTTATTATATTAGTAATTACCTGAAGTAAGTTTCACAACATAAATGTGTGTAAACAGTTTCAGTTTCAAACCAATTCTGCTAATAATGTAAATATTAAAATTATTATGCTTTTAATATTATCTTTACAGTAAAGTGAAAAAGCTCAAGCACCTATTTACAAAATGATCTACTTTCGTTAACTTTTAAAAATAATAATTATCAATAAAAATAATCTTAAAAATTTGTTAACTAAATTTAAATTATTAATTTTGTTGATTATGCATGTATATATATATATTTATATTTTAAGAATATATTATATAATTCTATTCATTATAATAATTTTTATATTTTTAACTAAAAAAAAATATATGTATATATTATGTATAAGACTAAAATATACTATTTTTTTTTATTTCTTAATCATTTAAACTTAAAGTTACATAATTTAAATAAATATTGTTATTGGTGAAGATTATTTCATTTTTAAAACTAAATAAATTGTTTTAAAAGACAACAATACATTATAAAGGTAAATACTAAAGAATTAGACATTTATTTAGAAAATAGATACTTTACTTATATAACTAAGAGATGCATATCGTAATATATAAAATAATAGTATTGTAATTATGAAATTTTTGATAATATCTGTAATAGTATAATACTATATTATATAGCAAAAAAATTTATTTAGCTAACTCTATAATAGGAGTGACAATTACTAAACTCCAAACCAAATAATTACACTTATAATATTCTTATTTAAAGACTATTTATCGATCCGATATAATTATAAATCTAGCGAGATATTTAGATAATAGAAACAAAAAGAGATATTTTTATCATGAAATTATGCACACGATTTTATTGATTTTATTAAGCAATCTTTTTAAAAATTAAGGAAAATTCAATATTTTCAGAATAAATTTTATTGTTGTTGATATTTCTATATATTTTCATCTTAGTGCAGGTAGATGAATTTTCTTTGAAAATTTTACAAACATAATATTTTCAGTAATATTATATTTTATAATATTTAATATGTAATAATTATAAAGCACTATATATATAAATGGAAAATTAATTAATAAATGATGTGATATATATTTCAGTAATTATATAATTTAAAGTACATTCATTGGATTAAAATAAATCAATTTATATATTTATCTATTTATGTTTATGCATTATATTTTTTAAACAATAACATAGAATTATATGCAGACAAGTTAACAAAATAGTATGTAATTACATTTCATTTTTTTTATTTTAGAATTTGCATATACGTACAAAATCAGATGAAGATGAAAACAAAGTATCAAAAGAACCAATACATTTAGTTTTTGGTGGCAAGAATATTTTCCCTGACAAAATACAGGTAAATTTTTAATGGATTCAATTTTTTTAAATTTTTATAGTTTATGAAAGTTTATTCAATATTGCAATTATTTCATATTTTATTTACATAAGTTTTTAAAAACAATTTAAAAATTTAATACTATATAATCAATAATAGAAAATATATAATTAAAATAGTATAATAAAAAATTTATATTTTTCAATGAGATAAAAGTAGTTTGAATTACTATTACTATGTAATTTGTTCAATCAAATTGGTACAAATAAAAAAGTAACATATGTAATGTAAAATATTTTTCATTCTAATAGTTATGAAAATATTCTTGTATTTTATTATGCATAAGAAATATTTTTAATAAATGAAATAGTTTAGAATTAGTGCTTCGTGCTTGGTATTTCGTTTATTTTACAACTACAATATAATTATTCTTCGTTGATGAAGAGAATCGGTGAAATCTTGCCGTTTCTTGGTTGTTTCCACGTGGAGTCAGCATGCACTACATGTAGAGGTAGGAGGTTATAAATCTCCGGATCATTTTGATGCAATATACTTGGTGGTGAAGTGCTATACTGAGAAGTAAGAGATCATAAAGCTCTTGACACTTCTTTATGTAGTGTCACGTGGTGGTAAATTGATTGCTTGTCTCCTTCAAGCTGTCTTGAGGTGTGGAAGGATGAGGAAGGCCTTCCGTAGTGGCTCTGCTGAGAGTTTGCGCAACTGCACGTAGTATGAGAAAGGCCTGCAACAGCTGCGTGCTCGGGGCACTGTATGTGTGAGACTGCTTAGTATGGAGCTGTTGAGTGTACTCCCGTAGCGGGTCTGCTGACAGTGTGTGTAATTGCTCGAGTGATGCTTTCCTTAAATATTTACGCGGTAGCTTTGTTAGCTGACCACAAAGGGCCGATCATAGAGCTAGAAACAATGGGTGTGACTGTCGCGCGAGAAACAATGGAGGCGATTGTACACTTGTATCATTGCCATTATACCGGCTTTTCCGAACTTCCAACGACCGTTGGAGAATTTTCTTAGAAGTTATAACCGTTGAATCTTTTCCCCTGAAATGATAACCGTTGAGGGTTTTCCTCGAAAATCCCGTTTGAATTTTTCACAAAACCATAACATTCAAGAGATTTTCTGAATCTCGAACAGAAATCAAGCATGAATTTCTTATATAAGCTGATTAATTGTTTATACGATGCCATGAATTGTAATTGAAAAAATATGAAATATTACAAACTATAATATTACAAAAAAATATTTATGCATTTACATTTACAAATGAAGAAAAGTAGCTCTTTGAAGTAATAAATTTTTATTGTATTCTATTTATTGTAAACACAATGTGAAAGTAAAATTTTCAATTACTTATATATGTTAGCATTTATATAAATCATCGCTTTTGTCCCTATTAATAAGAAATTATAATTGCTCATTGACAATAAAAAAATATTTAATATCAATTTATTTTCGTAGACCCAGGCAAACAGCAATGCTTTATCAAAACCTTTCGTTCCTGACGTTGGTGGTGCCGGTGGTGGTGATAACAGCAACGTTGCCAATGTTTACCTTATCAATTGGCATGAGTCACCATTCCCAGTAGATGAAGTCCCATTAATGACCACACTGGAGATCACAGATACTAAGCCGAAGCCGAGAACATGCGATCGCGAAACTTACACCGATCCATATGACTTTAATGTTGCCTACATTGGTGGTACTGACGATTATAAAATCCTACAAGCTGTTAACAGAAATATAATTGAAACGAGTCGCCATCTTTCAAGTGGTACATGATTTTATTTGTTTTGCTATCAGTGGCCAATATATTCATGCAATGATTTTATTTTTACCAAAGATTTAAACATTTTAACGTAGCCTAGTATAATATATTACACTATGTCACTAAAATTATATTTCAGTTTTGGTAATGTTCTATGATTTACAGAACTATTTTATATGTTGTGTCATTTATGAATTTTGATATAATTAACATAATTGTGGATAGTAAATAAAATTCTACTATTTATATACACTTTTTGTAATTGTATTTAAATCAATGTACATTGATATAGAATTTAATGTGACCATAATTAAAATTCTTATGAAAATCAATATATATTATAGAAATAGAACAAAATAAAATAGACTTTCTAATAAATTTACTAAAAATTCTCAAATATTCAATAATAATTGATCTGTTTTATAATAATAATAATAATAATAATAATAATAATAATAATAATAATAATAACTCATCAATTAAATAATAAGAAAAAAATTTAATGCAAGCTGTAAAGTTCTTTTTGCCTATTTATTTATTCAATCACTCAATACAGCATCATTAATTTTGTGCAAAATGAAAAATGTGTTCACTTATATAGTTGAATCAATCGATAATCATTTCACAGACGTAGAGGAGCCACCGATGCAAAAGCTAGTACTACACAAGAGTACCATGACGAATACAACTACCCTATTTAGAGGCCCCATATTCGATTTAGATACTGGCATCAGTGAAGAAGACTACAGCGAAGAGCTTATTGAACGTTTCTCGCATCTACCCCGCACCTGTGTTCTTGACATTTATAAGAATCTGTGCAAACATGATTATAATTGGGCTCTCGATTATCTCAGCAATATGGATATTAATGATATAAACATGTACAGCATAGTAGAACAGGTAGATGTTACTACAAAAGGCAATGAAAGTAAGTGCTTTTTCATGCTTATTTCACTTCATCCACTTCTCAATATCAATACGTTTGTATATTGTATAGTCCTAATATAATCCAGATTTTAGTTAATAGTTGATATATATATATATATATATATATATATATATATATATATATATATATATATATATATATATAAGGCTTTTTCAACAAAAAATCGAGAGAATATTTTGATAAATCTGTTTACCATTAATGCATGTAGTTTTACTAAAAAATATCTTATTATAGAAGTAGTCATACCACGTACCACATTCTCAATGTAAAAAGTAAATTATTCTATAGTAACAGATGAAAATTCAATTTCTCGGAAACACTTTGTAACGAATGCAGCAGCAACTGTGACAAAGAAAGTAGCTCATCCAAACAGCTCGGAGTCATTAACCGAAACGTGTGATGCTCCTCAACAACTAAACCAACAGTCACATTCTCGTACCAAGCGCCAAAGGTATAAGGCTTCAGACGACATGCTCGCCCTCAAACAGCAACTGGAAAGCAAGTTTGTGATGAACAAGGAGAGATACACACCTCATATGTTACGCATCGATCTCATGAAGAAGCACGAATTGGACAAATTAAAGGTCAGACTCAGCCATTTTTATAACATCAATTGGTAGTCGATCTTTACGGACTACTTATAAAATTATTTGAATTCAATGGGCTGATTTGAACGTGGTCGTATTTATGCAATTCGATACCGATTTTTTCCACTTTCACATTTATGATTTTTCACACTTGATTATAAATATACATACCGATATATCTGTAACTAATTTGAAATAACGTTCACTAGTGTTATTTAATAATGAATTTGTGAGTTTATTTATTTATTGTTTTTCAATACTTGTTATTGAATTATTAAAATATTAAATTATTGTGTACTAGTCAATAATGAGATTATAGTTACAAGATTACAGTTATAAAGATACAAATACAAATGACGATCAATAAATGAAATTGAAGTCTGAAGAATTTACGGTGATATTTAAATGTTTTATATTTAAAATTACTATTATTTTTAATGTTTATGTATAAATCTATACTGCTTTATAAATTGAATATTACATTGTATTTTTTATTCTATACAAATGTATATTTCATATAAATTTCTAAATGCATTAATTATAGCAGCAAATCTTACGATATATATAAAATACGTACATTTCATCAGTATCGATTTTTATTCAATATTTCTACGAGCACATTTACATAACTTTGAAGATACAAAAATGCCTGATAATCCAATAAATGTATTTACTTTATTACTTAATCAATCCATTAAAATTTTGCAGATGAAGAGTCCGGAAAAAGTAGAGGTAAAAAAGCCGTCACATTTTGTCCATATGCCTATGGCGGAGAAAGAGGAAGAGCAGCCAGTAGAAGACGAGGACAGTATAGAGGATGAGGTGGTTGAAGAGGAGATGATGGAATTGCGGCTCGGTTATGATTTCATACGTCTGTTGGAATCGGTATTTGGCAACGCAAATTTCCAGGCACCCGAAGGACTTTTCCCCGTGATCCAGATACGCAAGTCTATGGCTCAAGAGCTATATGCCTTGTGGATCGAGAGTGTTCAACGACAGCTTTGGGCTATGCAAGAACAATTAGATATCATGATAGCACAAGGTATAACGTTAAATTCCTAAAGCAGACGTACCTTTTTTTCGTGAAATACAGTAATTAAGATATTTTTAATTGAATCAAATTAAATTATTCGTATTTTTACCATTTCATAACATCAACGATTAACGTTGTTTATTTATATTAAAAATTGGAATTTAAATATGTATAATAAATATATTTAAAAATTAAGTTGATATTGTGAAACAATGAAGGAAACTTAATAAGAAAATTTATACAAAAAAAACCTTGTATATTTTTCTCATTCATAAAAAATTCTTTGAATTATAAGGAGTATAAATATAATGTTCTTTACTAAAATGTCCTAATGATCAACTTAATGTAAGTTGATTAATAAAATAATTAAAAAATATGCAGCTGCATCTTAGCTGTAATTATAATGGAAATATCTGTCCATAAAGAGAAAATCGAAGAAAATCCTTAGTTTCTCTGCATATCTAATAGTTAGATAGCCTTGTATCTATTAATATCACTAAGTAATATTAATTTCACTGGCCTCTTACAACTGCAAATAAATTTTTAGATGCTGAGTATGCGAAATCGTTAGATGCAGCACAATCACGAGCTGCAATCAAATCAGATGTTCCAAATTTAAAGGAGATCATGGACATGGAAATGGCTCTTGCCATGTATAGCAACGATTGTGTAAATAAATGTTTATATACATTATAAATATATTTTATTTAATTTTTTTTTTATTTTATTCAATAAAAAGTGCAGTTCTTTATAATTGACAATTACTATAATAATATATAATAAGAATAATATTGGTTTAGAAGCTAACAATTTTGTTTAAATTGAAAATTAATAGATTGAACAACAATCTATGAAGAAGACACATAAGGATATCGCTTCCCATGTTATGCGTCAAACTTTACATGAAATGTTCCCTGGTTATGATACTGAAATGTTGTATGAGATTTACGAAGCACATGATCAAAACTTTGACGAAACTGTTAAAGTCATCGAGGAAAATTGCTCTATTAAATCGACTATAACGATGGCGGATATGGTGAAAAAACGAAAACATCTCATCGATGAATTACAAAAAGAGAGTAGCTATCAAACCTCCAGACATAATCAATTGGTACTTATGAGTTTTTGTATATACAATCTACGTTAAATAACTATTAGACTATGTTAAGTGAAACTGTCTACTTAGTTTTGTAAAATCATATTCATTAATTCATTGCTTTTCATACACAAGGAAACTCTCGAAAGTCGAGACGAAGCTTCCGGTGGTGACTACAATAATTACGAAAATCTTCAGACATACGAAGAAATCTTTGAAGTTGCCTCTTCTTCGCGAGCAGAGGCACGCAGGCAGCTTACTCTTAGAAATCAAAATTATCAGAAAGCATCAGAAGCTTATCGTCGGAAAAACCCCGAAGTCGCTGCTTATTATTCAAATGTGGTACGTATTCGCTTAACTAAATTTAAAGATTTTTTGCTTTAGATATTTTTATCGATATAGATTGTTTAAATAAGTGCCCCTAAAAAATATTTATATTTTTTTATAAGAGTAGTAATGCGAAAAAACTGATTTTTAATTTAATTTTAAATAATAATGTTTATAATGTCTTTAGCTTTTGAAATGCAATGCAAAATAATTAATCAAATTGAACTTAAAGTTTAAAGGAAAAAAAATAATTTAATTAAAATCGATTGTAGGCGTTTGATACTACTTACATAAAATTATTATACCACAAATTATATTAAGTATAAGAATAAAAAATAAATATAAATATGAATTAAATATAAATGTATGAAATTAACACAATTAAAAAAATATCTAGTTTTTACTGAGAACTGATATAAAAATAAATATAATATTTACAGAAATATAATAAATTCTTGCATATTGCTTAATAAAAGTTAATACGATTAAAAGAAATTGTTTTTATTAACAAACTATAAATAACTGAATATAATTTCTTGGCTGCAGGCAAAGCTACACATACGAAATATGGAGGCTGCAAATTCAATGGCGGCATCAGCGTTCCTTGCCGCCCAAACTCGCATACTTGATGCCGATGATACGCTTGACTTGCATTTCTTGCACGTGTCCGAGGCAATTCAAGCCTTCAACATCTTCCTTGAATACCAGCTAAGCCAATTGGCAACTGGGGCCCGAAAATACATTTATATAATCACAGGCAGAGGCACGCGAAGCTTCAATAGCCAAAGTAAAATTAAACCCATCATTGTAAGAAAGCTAAACAGCAAAAACATCAGGTATGAAGATTAGAATCCATTTATAATGTATTTTTTTATTTGTTCTATGATATATTTAAAATACTGCAGATTATATATGTTTTTAAAAAGGTCAATATATATTTTTAAAAAATGTTAAAATTTTCATTATATGTAAGATACAAAACAGTTACTAAATTATAAATATAATATGAAAATACTAATTATCTAAAATACTAAAAATATTAATTATCTCTTAAAAGTTATTTATTTCTATAATTTACATTTAGTTATACAAAATATAACGTGTAAAAATTATAAATATGTGTACGAAATATAAAATGTTACTTAAATATTTATGTAAATCGTAAATTTCTCAATTTACAGATTCTCAGAAGCCAACCCTGGAATGTTAAAAGCACTTCTGAGAAAAAAATAATTATCGTCGTCATAACTTCTTATTCGAAAAGTATAAATGAAGAATAAAGAATTGAAAACGCCTTCAAATTTTGAATTTTTTAAAATTCTAACCAATTTTTATTTTATATATGAAATTATTATTGTATTGCTCTGTTATTATGTAGCTTAAGTTAAAGGATAGCCATGGAAGTAGATAGGTTTTTTTTATTAATAATAAAAATTTGAAATTTTTTCTATTATATATGATATGGAATTTCAAGATTTTAAACGAAAATTTTAACTCTTCGTGAATTAAAAGTTGAATAATATCTATTGAACTTTTATAAGATATAATGCTTTATATAGACATCTTATACTACAGTGTATGTTGTATAAATTAATATGTATAGATAGTATGAAGATATGTATTTGATTGGCAAATTCCATACATGCTTATGTCAGTACAAAACATATTAAAAATTATTCATTTAAAGAAGCTATTAATATTTTTAAATCAAAGGTATTATTTGTACAATTTAAATATATGTATATATATATATATATATATATATATATATATATTTATTTAAACTTTTGACTTTTAGTGTACAACTTAATAGACTTATAGTTATTTAGGAAATACGTTTAAAAACTATATTTTAATTTTTGACGTAAAAATATTTTTCGACAGTAAGTATAAATTTTAATTATATATTATAATTTGACCATATAAAGTATCTTGCGTACTTATTTATTAAGATTTATATAAGATTTTTCATAAATGTCTGAAAATAGAGTAGGAAAAGGTAAACAAGAATTCAATAACATTAGTAAAATGATGTTCATCTAGCGCTTATGTGAAATAAAATATTATTTACAAAAGTACAAATTTGATTTATAATTTTAGAAAAACATTTTCCATGGGTATCCTTTCTTAAATCATAAAGTTAATAAATAGTGAAATGAGAGTAGTTGTAATACAAAAATAATCATTAGTGACTTGAATATCATAAAATTGATGAAAGTACTAATTGTTAAAATAAATTTTCACTATATTTTAATTTCGTTTCCATAATTAAGAAATAAAAACATTATTTAAAACAATGTTATAGTAATTAAAAACTACCTCATTATACTGATTTGTAACTATTTAGTTTTAAATACTTCTCCATTACTAAAAATATGTTCATTTTATAATTAAAATCATTATCATAATTATCACATTAAGATATAAATTTAGTAAGTTTTCCGATTTATTTTATTGTTTTAAATGATGACTCTGAGATTTGATGTTACACTTCTATATGTTATATCTATCGAATATCAAGTTAAAATTTTATTTTTCACACAATCACATTGTAGTGGAACAACAAAGAAAGAGTAATGTTCAGTATCCTTGAAATTATATACTAAAAACTATTTGTATAAAAAATAAAGAAATATATACTCTTATGTTTACAAAATGTTGAAACTGTTAATAATTTCATTACAATTATAATTTTCTATGAAAACGCAATTTCTTTGAGCTCGTTGCTTCAATTGGCGTTATATTTAAATTTCTGCTCATAAGACTTCCTCAATGAGAGCCTGGATGAATCAAAAGAAGTTGAATGGAAATGATAGTCATTAGCTTCCCGCTTAGTTATTTTCGTCATTGGCGATCTGATGTATGCAGACGGTTTCCTTGGTGACAAGCCTTAAATAAAATAATCAATACTTTAGATGCTAGAGAATTATTAAATTGATAGTGTTTATTATTAATTAAATTTTATTCGATTGAAAATATTTGCTAAATGTAAAGGAATACATAATTTAAAAAGTATATATTTAATATTAATCTATTAAATATAGGCTATTTTATAAAAATAATACCATTTTAATTTTACTGTGTGAATAAAAATTGTACGTAACATTTATTGAGATTCTTAGTTGCAGTAAAACAAGAAATAATCATGATCATCTCTATATAAATTTTTTTTATTTTATGAATATTACGATAATTAAAATTTTGAACAATCAATATGATTTATTGAAAAGCTAATAATTTTATACATTTGCGCTCAAATAAAGTACCAATATGAAAATAGTGATTGATATTTATGTTTATTACCTTGAGTTGGTCGCTCTCGAGTTGTAGTTGAACGTATTTTACAATTGTTACTTAGAACATACATCGATGAGTTAGCGTGATAATTGTTATTCCTGTTACGTTGAAGATAAATTGATGGAAGTTTGCTACACCAAAGAGAATTATATCTATTACATATTTATTACTTATTACACGAGTATTAAAAATTAATATTTATATGAAATAGAATTAATACTTGCAATCTTTTATATCATTACATTTATAAATTATTTTTAACTAACTAGTACATTTGTATTTAATTAGGTTTCTGAAAATTAATTTTAAAATGATCATTCATACTCGGTTACATGTTTTTCTCCTTGACGCTTTTGCGATTTTAATTCTTCATTTACGAAAAAGTTTTGACAAATGTTGGAAGATTTTTTGTTTGACGACCGTGTAGCATTATTTTCATTCTGTTGATTTTTTTTGTCAGAAAATCTTAAACTCGTCAACTTCCGGTTAGAATCGTACCATTTTTTCGATCGCGAATTCATTCGCTGAAAGTATATATATATATATATATATATATATATATATATTTATGAATAGTATATGAATAGCTAAGATAAAAAAACCTATTAATGAGTTAGTTTTAAACAAATTTATCATTAACGCAATATCATTGAAACATGAAATAGCTTAGGATAAAATCTTAAAAATTGTCTAACTTGCACTTCCGATTCGAAGTATTAAATAAATTAATATGTAATATAAGATACTTTTTTATATTTGATTATTAAATTTTAATTACCACAGGGCTTACGTTAGCATAGTTTAAAATAAAATGGAAACAAATTTTAAAAACATCTTAAATCCCATTGAATGATGAGTATGTGTAAGATAAATTAATTTGCGTTTATATACTTCATTAATGAAAAAAATACTAGAGTATAAAAACGAGCGTAAACGAAAAAATTCAATAAAAAAAATATAATTTTTTATTTATTTCAATTGAATAGTGAATTAAATTTAATATGTTACAAATGAAAATACTAGTATGCTATAAAAAGCCAAAAACTATATTCTTTCTTTTTTATTTTGTTTATAAAAATTTGTTATAGATTCGAGTTTCCCGAATTGTATAATTACTTCAGAATATTGAATAATATTAATGAGAATAGCAAAATTCGTGAAATAACGGGGAGAATGCTTACATTGTCTTGGAGGCTCTGACGCTTCTTGAGAAAGTATTGGCCAACTTGTGTGTGCTTGAGATGCTCGAGGCCCGCGAACTGCGGTATCTTCGACTCATGGCATTCGCGACCGGACTTTTTTAAAGTAGCTGAATTGCCATTACAAGGTGTTGATTCGAGGCTCCTCGGTGTCTTAGACGAATCCACGAAGTGCGGTTGCGATTGATTTCCATTCATTGATTTATGCGATTGGCGCCCGTTCACCAGCTGATATTATCAGCATTACATAAAATAAATATAAGTCCAATTTTCAGGTAACAATATTGTCCACGATTTAGGCCAAAATATTGATCTTTTAGTAATAAATTATCATTAAACGAATATTATATAGGATATCATTCGATAAATTTTAATATATGATAACAATACACGTAATCTGCAATGCCTCTCTGATGACAAGTAGCCGAGAATTAAAGGTTCCTTCCAGCTCTTTGAATCGTTCATTAAACTATTCGATAACAATGCACTTCTAGTTTGCCTTGTCGATTCCCTTTCTCTATAATAAAACGAATTTTGCTTTAAATAGCCTTTATGTGGCTTCCTTAAAGCTTGATTAAAAAAAAAGTCTTCGTGAGATAGAGATGGAATGAGCTTACCTAATGTCAGCGAAGTATCGGTGTTCGAGAAGTTTTTTGGCGCTAGCGCGGTTCTCCGGGTCATAAATGAGCATCGTCCTGAGAGTTTCAAGACCGAGACTCGAAATCTGAGGCAGGAGGCAAGCGAGACCTCGGCCCTGCTTTGCCGGGAAATAAAAGTCCCCGTTCCGTGTCCTACTGCTTCTCTGGCACAAATTCGAACTCGTTAAGGGGCGTTGGGGGAGGGGATGTTATTAATTGATCTAACGATGGACCATTGGCTATTATGAATGGAAATACAGGACACGAGTGAGAGTTCGAATTTTTACACGTTTCTAAATTGAGATACATACATGAAGAGATAAAAGTTTCATTGATTGGACAGAAAAATTGCGGTTCAATAAATTTAAAATCATTATTAATTTAAATTACAAGCCATTTTTTTATAAGCATACGAATTTAATTCAATTTTTCCTAATTAAATTTATGTTTTTATTATTATGTTTTATTATTCTATTGAATAATGTTTTAAGATGAAATGATTTTTTATAATATTATTCGTATACTTCTAACACAATTATACTCTATAATAAATTCGATATTCGAGTATCATTATTTATTAATATTCTTATAATATAGAAACGTTTCTATATAACATAAAAATTATTTATATGCAACATAATATTGATGTTTAATATTCGATTAGGGATTCATTTATTTTATTCGTTTTATATTTATTTGTTATTTTGATTTTATTATGCCTTTTTCATATTTTACAGTTTAAAAGGAGCGAATAAAATCTTTAATAATTAAATAGAGTCTAAAAAAGAAGTCTAAAATATTTTTGTCATTGTTTATGAAAGATGCTTATTGCATATTAAATTTAGCTGAATAAAAATATGAATGTATTAATAAATGATTAAAGATCGCATCAAAGAACGTGCATAAATTGGAACATTTTTTTATTGAAGCCGATTATTCACATTCGATTGTTTAAATAGATAGAATTTATGAATTTCCATAAAGTGATAAATACTTACTTTTCATTCTTTTAAAAATATTTTGTGTATTTTTAATAATTGACAATTAAATAATTGAAGTATTCAGCTCTAATAATAAAAATTAATTAATGTAAAAAAATCAATATTTACTTCTTTGAAAACAAAACAAACCCGTAATTGAAGGAAAATGTAAATGCTTGCGTTTGAAAGTAGGTACGCTGATGTCCGTGTGCATGGAAGAGAAAGACAGAGTACGAAATAGTTATAAATAAAGCTTTATATGTATGAAAGATATAGACAGAATTCAATATGCACCTCATACATAACTATTAATATTTTAATTGTAAATTAATCATTCGATGGCAGCAAATATCAATGAATTGAAAAGTTTTAAAGTAACTTCTAAAAACTGATAGTCAGTTTGACAGATATTATTACTGTAACATTTAATGTTTCATAAAAAATAGTATTCATTGGATCTTTTATTATTGAAATTTAATATTCGACAAATAGATTATTATTATTACAATTAAATTCGAATGAAATGATCATAAGTTTTTATTAATATTTAGCGATAAAAATAAAAATAGTCGATCTGAAAGCCAATAACAATATTTCAGTCATCTAAAAGTCAGAATTTTTTAATTCTTTAAATAATTTTTCAATGAATATAATGGTAAAGTCGAACTTTCATTTAACAGATATAAATTTAAAAAACACATAATTCATTGTGTATTTTTCGCGGCATGCTGAAAGAGGCGCAAACCTTATTCAAAATATAAGCCATCATAGAAGAATCCGGAAATGTGTTCTCACGATATTTCTAATTAAATCAAAGATCTAAAAACGTTGATCCATCAGAATGTTAAAAGATGCAGATTTTTATCAAGAATGTGAGACTTAAAACAGAAAGTAGCATAAGCTTGAGCTAAATAAAAACAGAAGTAAGTAAGAGTAACTATACAAACTCTTCTCCCGATTTCTTTATTACTTTTTATAAGGTCTAATTTGCGATCTCATTACGTTAACTGTACATTTGTGGAATTGAATTTCGTAATTTTTTAACTTAATAAATTGAATTGAATAAATTACTGTAAGAAAAAAATTCATAAAGGGCTACGTTTTCTTCTGAAAAAAAGTTCTAGGCAATAATTTATTAGCTAATTTTCAAAAATTAATGTATACTTTTTTCAAAAGAACACATACCTTTAATTAAAGGAAGATGCGTACGCATGTGTTTATACGTGGACTCACATAGAAATGCACAATAATGTAAAATATATTAGAAAAATGAAATTGATGATTATTACATTCGTCTAAACTTAGCTACAAGTCTGGCATGTGGAGTTCCCAAAATGCTATGGATTTTCGAGACTTGATCCACTTCATTCTCTCCGGGAAAAAGCGGTTCCAACCTAAATTTTAAATAATATTTTTGTATTTGCCTTTTGCATAAATGATCGATACGTCTTAAATGTTTTTTAAAAAATTAATGAATAAGAACAATATCGTGAAACAATATTCTTGATAATAAATAATTGAATCTAAAAATTAGTCCGTTTATAAAAAAAAGAAAAAAAAATAGTGTAAAATAATGTTTAGGTTTTAATATAATACTAACATCCATTGCTCACAAACAGATTTTAAAATCACAATTTAAATCGCCTTATTCAATAAATAATGAATACGAATGATCGTTTAATACTTACATTTAATAATTAGTCTGCCTTCTATATATTTTTATAAAGAAGTCATAATCCTATATCATATACAATGATAGAGTAAATGGACAATTTTTATTAAATGAATATATTTCATATTTTGTCCCTCCCAGCTTTAAAATGAAGTCTTTACTAGATTTCTTCAACTTTACTGTTTTGAACCGATTCAGTGCAACTGACCGCATTACACATACACGAGCAGAGCTAGAATTTTAGCGTGAAATGGGGTACTAACGCAAGGAGCTCAAAGAAGACACATCCGACAGCCCAGACGTCCATCTTGGGTCCGTAAAAGCCACTTGTGAGAAGACACTCGGGGGATCTGTACCACCTCGTCGATATGTATTCGGTATACGGTGGTCTGCTATAGATACCGCGGATCGAGCCTAGATCACCGATTTTTACGTGGCCAGCCTGCATAGTGCTCAGTATAAATAGCGCAATTAAATAATTGTAAATAAAGTTGCTTTGTTATGTGGTGAAAATTAAAGTAATGAATGATTTTTGGTTACATTGAGATTATGCATAATATACAAATACATTATAGAGTCAGTTGAACATTGATCATTCCATAATTTCTGAATAAGTGTTACGATGTTAAATGTCTGTTTAGTTAATAAAACATTATTTTTGAAGAGTCGTATAATAGAAGGTAGAAATTTTAAATTACAATTATTTGAAGCTATAGTTTGCATATTTGTTAAGATAGAAAGTAAGATAAAAAGTGCAGATGAGAAAAAAAATTAATTAATTAATAATTAATATTAAATTAATGCTAAAATTCACAAACTTTTAGTAAAATATTCTCTGGCTTGATGTCCCGATGAAAAATACCATGCTTATGTAGATGATGCAGGCCTTTCAATAGTTGATAAATATAGTTTTTTACACGAATCTCCAACAGTAAGCGTCTGAAATATTGCTTATATTATTTAAAAAATAATATTCATACATAGAATCATCATAATTTCTATTATGAATATTATGCAAATAAATTAGTTACCCTTGTCTATTTCGCATTAGATCGTACAGACTCATCTCCATCAATTCAAAAATTAAGGTTACTTTACCAGGTAACGGATCACTACGCAAAATATGATTTTTTTAAATTAATTGGATTTTAATAATTATGAGTTGGTAAAAAATTAATTTTAATTAACAGCAAAATGCATACTTAATTTTACTTATTTCTCATTATTATTTATTTTTTCTACGGGGTTCTTTATTATTTCTTCATATGCTTACGTATGAAATTGAATAAATAATAAAAAAAAAATTATATAATTTCACTTATAATGATTCCATTTTTAATAATAAATAGAACTATAAGACTATACTCACTAATGAGATTCGATCATATATAGTACATTTGGATGGTGAGTAATTTTTCGCATTGCTGTTACTTCCGGGCTTTCCAAAATCTCGTTGATACTAAGTATTAAAAGTAGTATATCTTATTTCATTGAAAAACTAAATTTGTAATTTAAATATAAAAATAAAATAATTATGAACAATGATAAAAAATATAGAATTTACAAATAAAAATTTAATTGCAAATGAAATAAATTCATTCTACATTTATTTTAGCAACATAAAAGATGTTAGTACCTATTTACACTATAGTTTGAATTAATTGATTAGTTTTTTTTTTTGAAATATAAGTGCTAATTTATTATAAATATTTTAAATGTAGGAGAGATACCTCAAAAAATCAGGATTCCATAATGTACAAAAATTAATTATTAAAAAATTATTTATAAATTTGAAGGTTTTCTAATCTTTTTAAAGAATCAATACTTTACAAAGAAAAAAAACGTTATAAAAAATTAATATTATGGCAAACATCTACTTGTTTTAAATATTTCCAATTTAATGATTTAACAAATTGAATAATTTTATTATAATTTTTTTTTATTATATTAAAATGAAATTCATTTTAGGTGAGCAACTAATGAATATTATATTATTAAAAAAATTTATTAATAAAAATCTAAATAATCGATTTTTAAATATTATTCTTATTTCAAATTAAGCTTGAATTATACTTTAACTTAAATATTTTTTTTATTTAGAAATAAAAAAAGTTGTATGAACTGAAATTTAATTACACACAATTTAATATTCTTTTCAAATCAAGTTTTCATAAATTAAATAAATTGATTAAAATAAATATGTATTCTAAGAATAATAAAAAATTATGCTAATATAATTACATTTTTATTATTTTAAGTTTTTCTTTTATTTCTTACTTTTGATAAATTTTTTTTAGACGTTTTGCAGCGTAAAGAACGCCGGTATTCCGTTCTTGACATTTTAGTACTTCAGAGAAAGAACCTTCGCCAATCTTGTCCAGTACCTTGAACTCTAGGAAACCATATTTTTATCTTATCACTAAAACTCATATGAATCTATTGATTTTTGTATAGTTTTTTTTTATAACTGGAGAAATTGTTTATTTGCAAACCATTTAATCGATGCTATTCCTGTATTCCTGTACGAATAATGATTTTTATTTCATGATTAGTATTTAGCTACACACAGCCATACACGCGTATACACACTCATACATAGCCACAAATTGGTTATTGATAGAAGCAAATATTAGTAATACGCAACGATAACTGCTCTGGATTATTAAAAGGAAATCGATAACTTGCCAACGGCAAATCGAGCATTCGGATTTCTTATCTATTATTAAATTTGCAACATTTCTACCTCATAATTGATTACATATTGTAGACATGAATTACGCACTTCTATAGAATATTGGTGGTCGGAACATTTTTATTTTTAATAAATACGAATTACTACTGGAAACTGTGATTAAAATTGTAGAATTTACCGAGAAATTCTATAATTCATCTTTTTACTGCAGTGTTATTCAGCTTAGTGTCAGTATCTAAGCCACAATATCTCAAAAATAGAAATTTAATATCTCTCAACATCTGGTTGAATAAGTATACGAGAGTAATTAAAACTTTTCTCTTTAGTACTAATTTAATAAGCTTGTCACTGTTACCGAATTATCACTAAGTCTTATTTATTATTCGTAAATAAGAATTTTCTGATTTCTTCACTTTTAACATACAAATGATATATTATACTAATTTTTTTTAATTATTAAATGTTTTTGTGGATCTTTTACCAAATTAACTATACTAACTTTTGCAATAACATTTAATACAAGTTCTAGTCTGACTATTTTAAAATCAAATAATATTAAATTATTCTAACTTTTTACATTTTATTAATAATGCAAATATGTTCGCTTAAATTTACGTAACTACATTATTAAAACAATTAGCTAAATTTTTCTACCAGAATATATTACAAATAAAGTGATTAATATTAAAAAAAAATTAAATGTTAATCATTTAGTATTTATTTTAACCATGAATATCGTAAAATCATTTTTGGTAAACATTGGAAATAAATTATTTTAATAAATAAATATCTTTCAAAAGTAAAAACTTATCAAAGTTTAAAACTACTTGGAAAACTTTTAACATAAAAAAACTAAAGATGGCATGAAAATTTTATCTCGTCGAAACTTTGACTTTATGTTAAGTAAACTATTATAATACTATTATAACTTATCCAAATAAATTTTTACGTTCTGTACTTTTATAAATAAATATAAAACTTATTTTAAAGTATTATACGAGCATTTAGTGATTTTATAATAAAATCGTTAATCAATAAATTGTTTAAAATTTATTTCATTTAAATATATTAAAAATTATTAAATCAATAATATTAATAAAATATAGTATTTAACTTGAATATAAATATTAGATTCGTTAATATATCTTTTATGTAATGGTACTTAAATGAATGACATATAAAGTGCTCGATTGAGTTTTTCTCTAAACAGATATGCAAGTGTAAAAATGCATCATTTATTTGAATTATAAGCGTGTAAACATTTCAATTTATAGTAAAAAATATTTTCTATACAATACATTTCTTACTTGATTAAATGAATGCAATAAATTACATTACATTTCTAATATTTGCATCGGAGAAAATAATTTTTAAAAGAAATTCGTCGAGTGGAACTATTATAACAACAGTTGCATATTTGAGCATTCAAATGTATGAAAGAGAAAAAATATTAGCAACTTTTGTAAATACTTTAGTAGATATACCAAGAAGTAGGATAGATATCTGCAGCATTTATATGCAAAGCGATGTATAGATTAAGAAAATATCTTATGCTCAATAACAAACCCATAGTTTAGAAAAATCGTGAAAGGTTAAACTATATTGCGTATACTTATAATAAATAGATGATTCTATCCAAATTTGAAAATGCATTCTCCGTTAATAAATATGTATTAAATGGTAACACATTGTTATCGTATCAACAATTTTTCAATAGCTTTTCAACCAACTTCTTCAAGTGTTGCATATTTTTTTTAATATAATACTTCATCACTAAATCAAAAATATTTTTGAAATTTATATTTCATCTTTATTTCTGCAATTTAACTTTTGATAGTTATTATTTTAGTTTTTTACTAGATATTATATAAGATAATGTTATGTAATGATCGTACCGTATACGGTACTGAAAATAACTTTCTTAGAAGTGATTTGAGTTATCTTTTTTCATTTGAATATTGAATTAAAATATTTAATAAATAGAATTTTAATACCATGTAGCCATAAATATTAAGATTATTTTCAACAACGAATAAAATTCAGATTATAAAAAGAAATTATAAATAATAATAAGCTTAATACCCATTAAGCTCGGTTGCCTTAACATTTAAAATTCAATTGAACCACTTTGGAAGAGCAATATTATATTTACATACAAAATGTTCCCCTATATACTTGGCATTCAATCGAACCACATTATCTTTAAAAAATATAATTTTTAAACGGTTTAGTAAATTACAAAAAAAACATATTAAAGGTTAAGGGTCTTAAAACTCACTGGTCTGAAAGGAAGTGCACATCGTCAACGATTAGTCAAGCGGATCATAAACAACGGAGAACAATCTCCACTTCCAGGGCAACATTTTTGCTTGCTATTGGAGTATGCGTTCGATGATTTTGGATTTATAGGACTTATGCGCAAAATACTTAGTACCAGTGTATTTTTCGCAGCTGCGTTATGAATTATGAAAACAAGAAACAACAGAGAGTCTAGATTAAATTTTTTTTTCATTTGCATATTCGAATAAAATAATTATTACAATATAAGCTGAATATTAAAATTAATCTTTAATTAATTTATATCAATTTATTTCTCATTATTGTTTCTCGTTATTTTATTTTTATACTTATAACATATTTTATTGAGCGATAAAGTATTATATAATTAGTCTTACGAGTTTTTCGAAAGAAAATTTTCAACTTTAATTCTTTAGATATCCAATAATACTGAAAATGAATCCTTACTTAAAGATCTCGATATATTTTAAAGCAATTTCCTATTTTTATTTCACTTTTATTTTCAACCATTTATATAATAAATTTCTAAATAACTTGTTAATTTGAAATAATGTCTACATTGAGATTAATTACCATAGTATAAAAAAATTAAATTTAAAAAATATATAAACTGCGTAATCAATAAATTATTATAGCCTATATATTATGAAAGTTCTTACATAAGTTATATAATATTATTGATATTTCTTTAACATCATTTTCTTCAACATATTGATTAATACAATTATTACAATTACTATTTAGTGTTTGAAAGCATTAAACGTAATAACGATGTCAGTAGGTTATTGCTTGGTATAAATTATACTCTTTATTTTCAATTTTTTTACAGAACTAGTTTCATTTCTAAACCTAAGATACTCTTGAGATCAGTACGAATTCTAATAGTTAATTTAATATAGGTCAAGAGAATTAAATTATCTTTTAATCAATTTAAGCGTTGATTTATTAAGAACATGAACATTCTTTTTATAGATTATTCAAGGTATGGGTAAAGTCCGAGCCTCTTTCGTAATACCAAAATTCCAATTTAAATAAACTTATCTAGCACACAAAATATGGAAATATGGTAATATTTAATTAATTTAAGGCTATTAAATTTTTAATTATAAAAACAATTTACTTTTTTCATAAATATTCAAAACGTGATAAATGTTGAAAATTTTAAATACTATTTACTTATAAAAATGTGTTTTAAGGTTTTTTAGAACAACATATACCATGTTGTTCTAAATTATTAATGATATTAATAAATAGTTTTTTTTTTATAATAAATACAATAATAAATTAATGATATTAATAAATGAACTACGTATTAATGATCATTTTTTTTTTAAGATAAAGAAATATACTTTAAATTATTATCTTTTTTAATTTAAATAAGCATATTACAGTAAATGATAATTAAAATTTTATTAAATTACAATCGAAGTAATTCTAACCAATGTTTGATGGTGAAAATAAAAAATTATCGATAAAATCCTCTTAGTATACTATTAAATAGATAATTATTAATATAATCATATGTGAACCAAAATCAAATTGAGTGAATTTCATATTTATTATTAATGCTGCTTAAATAGATAAAATAAATAAAATTATGATTATGCACAGTGAATTTAATAATCTATTAACTTCAAAGAATAATTAGAAAATAGTTAAAAGTTGAATAAATTTTAATATATTTTATTAATGTATTTTTGATTTTTATTAATGTAATCACGTGAGTAATCTATATTCATTCTAGGTTAATATTTTATTAAATTAAATCGAGAAAAATTTTCATTAATTTGAATATGTTCTCACTTGACATCAATTTATCTTTACAATAAAAAAGTTTGAATTAATTAATGGGATCATGTAAATTACTTTGTTATAAATCAGAAATTTCGAAAAAAGCATGAAAAATGATTGTATAATTATTCTAATAGAAAGTTTTATGAAATAGATTCGCATTCAAAGTTATTTTCAATTACTTATATACAGTTCATGATACCTTTTCATCTCATATATATTTGGAATATTTACTAAAAATTTTATTAATATTAATAAATTGGTTGAATATTTTTTCTACAAAGCATTAAAGTAACTCAATATTTAATATTTGATTGAACTCAATTTAATGTTGTGGATAGAAAAAAATTGTCAAAAATAGGTTTTAAATTTTATATCATTTCCTTGGTTTCTTTTTAGTAATATATATTCAAATTTTTATATACTAATTAAATCATGCAGAAATATTCAATTTTATATATTATCATAACTAACAAATTTATTAAATTTTAACATTGTTGCAATCGTAATGACGAAATTAATTTTCGATTGAAATTCATGTTGTAATATGTTATATCATTCATCATCTTGATTTATAAAAATTAAAAAATTCTATTTTCATGGAAATATAAGTTTTGATTTGAATACACTTATTAGTACTTAATAGTTTAACTATAAGCAAAACAAAGAAAAATATAAATAATAATGATAGGATTTGATCAGCCTATTTCTAATATCAGTTTATTAAAACTGTAATTTTTTAATTACCCAAGTTCATCAGATTTTTTATACAAATTTGTTAAATAAAAAATGATAAATAAATATATATATTTAAATTGGATATATTTATTTATATAAATGAAATGGATTGAATAGTAATAATTATTAATGATGCAGATGCATTACGTGGTTCATACATAAAACTGAGATAAAATCAAGTTTACATTTAGAATCATAATTTTTATATTAAAATAATATCAAAAATGAATTGGTAATATACATGAACTTTTTGAAAGTTAAAAAAAAGTTTTATAAGTATAGCGATGTAATAAATTAAAAGTACAAACAGATAAACATTGAATAATTATTTTCTTCACCAAATTTTTGCATATTAAGAATAATAATTTTGTTTTACCTTTTTCGATGTTTTTTGTATTTACAACCGGTGTATTTATTTTATTTTATTTAAATATTATACAATTATTTCGGAATTAATTTAATAATTTGGTGGAATTTTATTAAAATATTTGCAGTTTTGATGGCTTTAAATTTGTATTTAAATAAGTATAAGTGTTCATACTTTATTTAGAAACGTTTAGTTAAATACATATATTTATTTTTTCGTTTATTTATTTGTAGTTTTTGAATATTACCTTAGGGTTAGATATTCAAGTATCAAAATTGCAAAACTTAATTTCTTCATAAACTACATTATGTTTTATTAAGAATAACTTTTTAACTATTTCAACTCTTATAATTAATGATTACAATTAAAACCTTTCTAATCATCTAGAAAAATCAAATATGTAAATTTGATATTTTCGTTTTTGTACACGCTTAGCTGAATCTTTAAATAGGTTTTCCAATAATTATGTTACAGAAAACGTATTGAAGTATTAAAATAAATTATAATAGTTTGGTACACATTTAAATCTCTATCTTAATTCTCAAATTTTAAGATTCAACATACGTGCCACTAATTTGCTTAATTATAGATACTATTTTAATTTGATTTTAATTCTTGCATTTATGTAACTCTAGTGATTACATAGATATCATTCATTCTTAAATTATAGTAATAAAATAGTGCAGCGTCACTTGTTCAACAAGAAAAGGAATATATCAAATTTTTTCGTATCCTTTGTTACACGTGGATCTAAAAAAATAATTTTGGTATATATTTTTTAATGATATTGTTGAAAAAACGATCAGTGATTATAAAAAGCAAGAAAATATGAAATAATGCATCCATTGTTCTTTACACATTTTACCATTATTAAAATTTGCATCAATATTTTTAATTAACGATAAGTCTTAATACCTCGTAATATTATATTTCTATATCGAAAACAAAATGAATCTTTGAACTAACTTAATGAACATTGTACAGCATTATATTGTTTTATCTTGAATTTATTTTATTTGTTTAGAATTTACTTAATGATACAATCTCAACTTTTTAATTTTAATCTCGATTTATTAAACTGTCATATTATCATCCCATAACAATTTTTTTTAAATCGATCAATATATTAGAGTATAAAATGCCACTTTTCATAATAGTATTCTAATATTTTTTATTTCTTTTTTTGTCGAAAATTTTCCTAAAAAAAAGAATATTTCATAAACAGAACATGAGAAAACTACTTATTAAAATTAGCACACGTTCTTTTAATCAAAAGTGAGGAAGCCTGGATATCACTAAATTTTATCTAAATCAATTCTAATTTTTTCAGTTTTAGATTTTGTGTGCTATAATTTATTTTTCTTTAAATCTTACGCATTCGGTCCTGAAACAAAATAAAGATTACGAAACCATGCAACACTCTGTCAATCTGTTGTCACTCATTTTAATTTTGTTTTCTTGCACATCAAGCAATTGCGGTCGAACTATTATTATCATTATAATTAACACAGAGATTTATATCTTTGTCTATACTCAAAACAGTCATTTGTAATTTAAGTTCAATAGCTTTATAAACATAATCTTTAATTATATGTGTAAAGATTAATATTCATTTCTTTAAAAAAATTTCAATTAAATAAGTAGATTTATTTGCAGACAATAATAGTTTGGAATATGTAATATGATTTGTCGCATATATATTTGTTTTAAGATTTTTTATAAATCTTAACACATTTTAGTAACAAATGTCCATCTACAATATAGAAAAAGGTGAATCTCTTACAACGAACTTCCGAGATTTTAACGCGATTATGGCAGGATCAATGTAACGCGGATAAAATCCATTTTTTAATACCATGTAATATGTCAATCAAACCATTTCTATTTTCTTAATCATTTTCCAGTCACAAAAATCCCTTTCCCAGAAATACAATACATGTATCATCATAAAACTAAATTTTTCAAATTCTTATTATTCTTAAGTGTACTCACAGGTATATGTTAAATTTCCAAGTTATTTCCAAGCATTGATTATTTTATTTAATCTTAATACAAACATTATGTTATTTACCGAGTATTTTATGCATTTCAATTCTAAACTTCTAAACAAAATTTTGTTTTTTTTTTTTAATTGAAATTTCCAATATCTGAAACTATTTAAAGCATATTTGAAAAATAATTCAACTACTACTATTTTGAAAAAATAAGTGTACTACTTATTCA